TTGCACACCCCCTCTTGGACACCCCCCTCTTTGCCGCCCCCGAGGGTTGGAGCGTCCCGCTAGCAAATGGCACCATGACATCACTCCCACGCTTAAGAAAAGAAGCCCTCTGGGACACCGGCCCAGACGTCCCAGTGTTTTATCACAGCGTGGGCCCGTGGACCTCTCGTCCCCCCCTCTGGCGCTGACTGTTCGCCCCCCGAGTCGTTTCTCGTTTGTCCAGGGTCCCGAAACCAGCCTGCGGAGGCCCAACCTTGCGAACAACCAGCCGTCTTGATTGTTTCGAGCCGCTTGATGCCTGTACATCAGATTGGGCAGGTTTCCTCCAGGAAGACCCTTGCCCTGCCTTCTCCAGGAAGTCGCCGCCGTTTCCCTTCCGCCCACCCTGACCCCTCGTGCCCGCCGCCAATGATCGGCAGTGGGCTGGGCTAACCCCCCCTGTCTTCTCTTCCCTTTCCCCTTTCGACTTGTCCTCCTCCTCCTCCTCCTCCTCCTCCTCCTCCTCCTCTCTCCTCCTCCTCCTCCTCCTCCTCCTCCTCCTCCTCCCCCTCCTCCTCCTCCCCCCCTGGAGCACTGCAGCGCCCCTCCCCATCGCGCCCATGGCGGCCCGCCCTCGCACCGCGCGCCCCGTGCTGCTGCTCGCCGCGGCAGCCTGCGCCGTGGCCGCGTGCCTCCGCCTCTCGGGCGCCTTCGCGGGCGCGGCGGCGGCGCGGTCGCCCTCCTCCTGCTTGGCCTTAAGTCGGGCGTGTCCCTCAACAAGAGGAGCCTTAAACCATAATAATATAATAAATAGATAGTCCGAGGACGGTTGGTCGCACACCTTCCTAACGAATTTTACGCAGATTCCAACATAGTTTTAATTTGTCCCCCCAAATCTGCCTGCAGGGGGGCATGCCCGGCCTAATGCTTGGACTCCTCTCGGGGTCTCGGGGCCGTGGGTTCTCGGAGGGAGGTCACGTCGGTTCTCGGAGGAGTGCTCTCGCCTCGGGACGCTCTCCAGCAGCGGAGCCTCGTTCGGGCGATCGCGACCATGGATCAAGCGGGCGTGGATCAGCGACGGGCCCCGTTTCCATGGGATCTCGCGGGGTTCCGCCGCCACCGGCTGCGTTTTGGGGAGGGTCGCCGCCGGCGCCTCCTCCGCCTCCTCCTCCTCCTCCTCCTCCTCCTCCTCCTCCTCCTCGTCCTCCTCCTCCTCCTCCTCCTCCTCCTCCTCCCTCTCTCCTCTTTCTCCTCCCCTCCTCCCTCCTCCTCCTCCCTCCTCCTCATCCTTCCTCCTCCTCCTCCTCCTCCTCCTCCTCCCCCGATCCATGGACTTGGAGACCGCCGCTCTCATCCATGCCTGCGCGCCCCGGGCCCGTGGAGAACCTTTTCCTGGGACGCCCAGCGCCGCCGCGCGCGGCCGCCCGGGAGGCCCGCGGAGGGAGGCTCGGAGGAGCACCGGTCGGCGGCGCGCGCGGCTGGGCAGCGGGACGGGGCGGGTCTCCCCGGGAGGCGCAGGAGACCTCTCGGGAGGCCCAGGGGGGGGGTGGTGCTGCTCGGGGAGCCCCGCCCCCCTCGGAGCTTTCTGTTCGGAGCCCTCGGGGGGCGCCGGAGGAGTGCTCGAGGCCCTCCCCAAAGGCACGGGGGGAGGCCCCCGGGGAGGCTCGGGCGGGGCTTCTCGGAGGCCCCGCCACTTTCCGAGGAGGCCTCCTCCTTCTCGGTTCCCCCCCGCCCCCCACGCTCGCCGCCGCATCCAGGGTTCCTCTTCCTCCGCTGCTTTCCTCTTCCGTCCTCTCTGGTTGACCGGAGAGGGGGTCCAGCAAAAAGGAGTAGTGCAATAGATTTGGTGCAAGTATGTGGGGGCGCAGTAGATTACGAAGGCCTTACGGCCGGTGCCGCCGACCATGAAGACGACGACGCTGACCACGACGAGATAGATGCAGGATGATGCGCCGCATGAGGAAGATGCGGAAGACGACGCCGAGGGTCTTGGAGGTCATGGGCGTTTTCGACCGAGCGTTTGGCGATTGGGTCCCCTCTTGGACGCTCTCGGTGACCTCTGGGGCCACTATGTTTTTTGTTTTCAATTTTCCCAGCCACGGAATCCCCAGGGGGGTTGGGTATCTGACCCCCGCCACCCACCCCTGTGGGGACCCCCCCCGACGGGGCAGGGATCGTAGGGAAGGGACTTCCTTTCGATTCGATTACGACATTGCTGAGTTTTTCTCTTGCTGACAGGCTTGGCAGATATCAGGGTCGGCGAATGTGGTTTGGGCCCTAGACGGATCTGGGCTTTTTGGACGACAGCAACAGAAGCCGACTCGAACTGATAAACCCTTCCCACATGCCGATAGGGGTTATGGGTTTTCGACGCGCCATAATATTTTCCGGTATGCAGATGCATTGCTGGGTTTTCGCATGCAACACATTACAGTCGGGGCCTTGAAGAAGGAACCCTTTTCGTTGGGGAGGGGCTCTGCGTTCCTGACGTGTTTCGCAGCTTGCCTCAGGTTTTCCTTATGTTTCCGATAGGAAATCGAAGGTTAACGCATGGAAAATAAGGGCCTCGTTCCTTATCTAGGGTTCCTTGGGTCAACGCCCCGACTGTAGTTGCAATCCAATGCAAGACAAGTCGCCGGCGCAAAGCATTTGCAATACAATTGCCCGATCCATTGCACCACCCCCTTCTCAGCTGGAGCCCCCTTTGGGGTCAACCAATTCTCGGTTCCCCCCCCCCTCGCTCGCCGCCGCATCGAGGATTCCTCATCCGCCGCTGTCTTTCCCCTTCCCTCCTCCCTCCCCGTCGTCTGTCGTCCCCCCTCCTACCCCCGCCCCTCCGTCGCCTATGCCTGTTTCTGGACTATACGTGGGCGGCACGGCGCGGGGAGGTGCAGGCAGGACCACGGGAGGGAGGGGGCACTTCCGCTTCGAGAGCGCTCGCGGGTTCATTTGGGTTGACTCGTGCATGTCCCTCTAGAGGGGGACTTTTCTGGAACATTTGAAAAATCGCCTGGTGTCAATTTCTTTGTCTTGTTTGACTGTCTTTGATTATTGTTTGACAGTTTCGCACTTTTCTTGCCAAATCCACCTGTAGGAGGACATGCCCGTCCTAAGACTTGCTTGTGATCTCAAAGCCAGAGTCTCTAGAATCCCGTCCCTTCTCCGCCTGCTTCGGCTCCCCCTTCCCCCCTCTAGGCGAGCGCGCGACGCCGCCTCACCCGCCCGCAGCGTGTGACTGTCGAGTTCATACGCGTCGAACAGGGGGGGTGCTGAGGGCCCTCTTCGAAGAGCGCAAGCCCGAGACCGGGAGCGGCAGGCGGGTGCTCTCGTGCCCCTCCAGAGGCAAGGGTGCGTCGCACCAGGGGCCCCACAAGGCCCCGAGATGGCACCGCGTCCCGGCTGGCGTTTCTCGAAGTACGCCCAGTATCGCTCGGGGAAGAACAAGCGCTCCTGCCAGGGGGGGAACCGTCGCCTGGCTGGGTTGGTTCTCCCCCGCTTCGCCCTCGCTCAACAAGGGGAGGCGGAGCAACCCCCCAAAGAGGAGGCCTGCCCAGGGTCCGGAGGGGGGCGTTCTAGCGGTATCGGTCTCTGTTGTTTCTTCGGGGGCGGCCATCTGGGGCCTATTGATGCCAGTTTCAGTTGCTCGGGGGTGTCGCAAATAACAAGCGACACGTGTGCCATGGCCCTTGCACACAAAGGAAGGGGGAGGAGGAGGTGGAGGAGGGAGGGGGCAAGATATCGCTCCTCGGGGCCCAGCGACGAGGCCCAAATCCCAGGTGGGGAGGGCCCCTCCCCACCTGGGATTTGGGCTTCGTTGCTGGGCCCCGAGGAGCGATATCTTGCCCCCTCCCCGAGGGGGGGGGAGGTGGCGTGCGTCGCGACGCGGAATAAAGTGCTCGGAGCGGAGGGGCACGGGGCGGAGGTCCCACTGGGGCGCTGGGGGCGCGGAGAGGAGGGGGGGGTGGTGTGTGCCGCGACGCGGAATAAATGTCGGGGCGGAGGGGGCACTGGGCGGGGCTTGGGGCAGAGGGCCACGGGGCGGGGGTCCAACTGGGGCGCTGGGGAAAGGGGGGGGGGGGGGAGGTGGCGTGCGTCGCGACGCGGAATAAAATTGTCGGGGCGGAGGGGGCACGGGGCGGAGTCCCCACTGGGGCGCTGGGGACGCGGGGAGGGAGGTGGGGGAGGTGGTGTGCGGCGCGACGCGGGATGAAGCGTTAGTGGCGGAAGGGGCAGTGGGCGGGGCCCCCGCTGGGGCGCTGGGGGTTCCCACTCTGGCGCTGGGGACGCGGGGGGAGTGGGGGGGGGGGGAAGGGGGCGACGCGGAATAAAGCGTTCGTGGCGGAGGGGGCAGTGGGCGGGGCTCCCGCTGGGGCGCTGGGGACGCGGGGGGCTCGGGGCAGAGAGCCACGGCGCGGGGGTCCCACTCTGGCGCTGGGGACGCGGGGGGGGGGGGGGGGGACGCGGAATAAAGCGTTCGTGGCGGAGGGGGCAGCGGGCGGGGTTCCCGCTGTGGCGCTGGGGACGCGGGGGGGCTCGGGGCAGAGAGCCACGGCGCGGGGTCCCACTCTGGCGGTGGGGACGCGGGGGGAATGGTGCGACGCGGAATAAAGTGGTGGGAGGTCTAGACACCCAATGCAAGATAATCAAGTGGTCGGAGCTCTAGACACCTTGTGCAAAAGGATGGTCGGGGCGGAGGGGGCTGTGTGCGGGGCTCCGACGGGGGCGCTGGGGATGCAGCAGGGAAAGGGGGGGGGTGCGTCGCGACACGGAATGAAGTTGTCGTGGCGGAGGGGGCACGAGGCTGGGCTCCTACTGAAGCGGTGGGGACTTGGGGGGAGGGGTGGGAGATGGTGTGCGTCGCGACGCGGAATAAAGTGGTCGGGGCGGAGGGGGCACTGGGCGAGGCTCGGGGCAGAGGGCCACGGGACAGGAGTCCCACTGGGGCGCTGGGGACGCGGGGGGGGGAGGGGGGGAGGTGGTGTGCGTCGCGACGCGGAATAAATGCTCGGGGCGGAGGGCGACGGGGCGGGGGTGCCACTGGGGCGCTGGGGACGCAGGGGGGGTTGGATGGAGCCACGGGGCGGGGGTCCCACTGGGGGGGAAGAGGGGGGGCAGGTGGTGTGCGTCGCGGCGCTTAATAAACTGCTCGGGGCGGAGGGGGCTGTAGGCGTGTGCGTCGCGACGCGGAATAAAACGCTCGGGCCGGAAGGGGTTGTGGGCGGGGCTCCCACGGGGGAGGAGGGGGAGGTGGGTGTGCGTCGCGACGCGGAGTGAAGTGGTCGGAGCTCTAGACACCTTGTGCAAGAGGATGGCTCGGGAGTAAGGGCCAGCCCCCTAAGCTGGGAGTCGAGACGTGAAGGAGTGGACGCCCCGAAAAACCGAGCCGCAGGATGTGTTGGTCCGTCTTCTCCTTCTCCCAGTTCTCCATCCTTCGCAATTGCGAGGTTACAGGGCTCTACGAATATCACGATGAGAATGACGATGTGGAGGCAGAGGAGGCAGAGAAGGAGGAGGATAAGGGGGATGAGGACGACGAGGACGAGGACGAGGACGAGGACGAGGAGGGGAGGAGGACCAGGAAAAGCACAAGATGCATCACTTCTGCTGCAAATCATCCCTCCAAGCTCCCTTTTTCATAAGCACCCATACGCGGGTTCATCTCCACTGAGGGAACTGCCCCGTTGGAAGACAATTGTTTGAACATCTGGAACTGTGCCGAAACACCACTGCTGGGATTTCAGCGCCGCGAATCACCCGTATTGTGGCGCCTTGCCGATATTCCGACATCGGCCAAAACACAGTTTTTCCGATACGCTACACATTGGAATTTGTGGAACCTCTGTGAACTCTTAGGACGCCTGTGCTCGGCGCTCGGGCGAGAACCACATTTTGAAACAGAGCCGCCCTCCATCCGCGAAACCTTCGAATATTTTCGCATTTTGAAGACGGCCTGCACTCCGTCTGTGAAACTTGTGTGTGTTTTTTGTGCCACGGAGGTGCGCGGCGCTCGTGCGAAGATGCACAGCTTGAACACCGCCCGCCCTGCATCCGTGAAGCGCACGCGTACTTTCGGGACGACTGCGCGCGGCGCTAAGGCGAGACCCGCATTTTGGAAGCGGCCCACTCTCCATCCGTAAAGCTGCTGCAACATCTAAGCGTCAGGATCATCACTCGTGAAGAGATCTCAGGCGAGACGCACGGCCCGCCCTTTCGACCAGCCTCGGGGCGCGACAGGGAATAGTTGTTCATAAGGATGAGGGATGGAGGAGGAGGAGGAGAAGAAGGTGGAGGAGGATTACCTCCAGGAACAGTCCCGTCTGTAGGCCGTTCCTGATAATTCCTTCACGTCTTGATGATATTTTGCCCTCCTCCCCGATGGCAGGGAGGGGGGGGGCATCGAAGACTTCAATCGTCAATCGACAATATGATCCGCAGTTCGAAGCTCGAGGGAGGAGATGGAGGAGGAGATGGGAGGCTGAGAAGGATGGGAAGGAGGTTGAGGAGTCGGACATGGAGCAGCATGGCAAGACGGAGGACGAGGAGGAGGAGTAGGAGGAGGACGAAGAGGTTTTCGAAGGGTGTCGGAGGCTGTCGGGGGTTCTATGGAGGGGGGGGGGGGGGAGATCCCAAATTGGCTCCGGGTCCTGCCCGGGGTGCTGGCCCAGGGTGGCGGCCCTGGAGTCGGGCCTGGCGTGAGTTCGTCCGGGGTTGCCGGAAAGATTCGCTCGCCACTCCCGCGCCCTGGGGCCGCGCCCGGGCCCCCGGGGCCAGGCAGAACCAGCGCTGGGCCGGGGACGGCGTCGAGAGTTCGGGGGCCGGGGAGTCGTCGGACTTCTCGGCACGCCCGCCCCTCACCCGCAGCTCCCCGAGATAGCCCACAGTGGGGGGCCCAGGGCGGTGCCTCGTCCTGCCCCGGGCGCGGAGGAAAATCTTGGTGGTCCGCAGGGGCTCGAAGCGAGCTTGTCCCCTGCGCGCCTCGGCCTGGGCGTGGGGGCTGCCCTCCTCCGCGCGAACGGGATGGTGGTCGCATGTCGTCCCAGACACCCGGCGGCAAGTTGTTCTCCAGGCATAGGCCCTTTTGGCCTGTCGACCCCTTCCCTGGGCCGGGCCTTCTCGTCCTGGCCGCTGTCGGACCGCCCTGGTGCACGGAACCAGTTTGCCGAGGTCCAGGATCACGAACCTGTCCTCTTCCTCCTCATACCAGTTTGCCGAGGTCCAGGATCACGAACATGTCCTCTTCCTCCTCCTCCTCCCCCTCCTCCTCCTCCTCCTCCTCCTCCGCCTCCTCCTCCTGCTCCTCCGCCTCCGCCTCCGCCTCCCCCTCCTCCTCCTCCTCCTTCTCCTCCTCATTCTCCTTCTCCTCGTCAGCAGCGAGGGCGGTCGCCAACGCGTTCGGACAGCGCGCGGGCCGGGCAGTGGCGCCTCAGCCGTCTGCAGAAGAGGAGGGCGGCCGCAGAAGGGTGGCGCGGGGTACAGTCGGGGCCCTGAAGAAGGAACCCTTTCGTTGGGCAGGGGCTCCGTGTTCCTTGATTGCTTCGCAGTTTGCCTTGGGTTTTCCTTTGGTTTTCGATTGGAAATCGAAGTTCAACTTGTGGATGAAAGGGGCCTCGTTCCTTATTTAGGGTTCCTTGGGTCAACGCTCCGACTGTAAGGCCTCGGGCGCAATCGCAGCATCTTCGCCACGAGGGAGTGCGCAGGAGCGTGCCAGCGGCTCGGGCACCGAAGAGACGTGCACGGCTATGTCGGGCGTGTCCTCCTACAGGGGGATTTTCTACGAAAAATATATAAGACCCCAAACATATTCCAAAAAGGTTTTAAACAATTACTCCTAAAAATAGTCCCCAGCCTATTTTTGGACTACTTTATATTTGTGTGTGGTGTTTTTCTTTGGGGGTATTTCTTAATTTTTCGTCGAAAATCCCCCTGTAGGGGGACAGGTCCGACTTAAGTGTACGGGTAACCCGCGTAATAAGGACGGGCAACCTTCCCAAGCGTACCCTTGCATCTTTGCCTCCTCGGCCCATCCTTGGCCACTTTCGTTGGCCGTGCCCCGGTCAAAAGGCTTCGAAGTGGGCGTCCAAGGCCACTGCATCCTCATCACGCATCCTTGCTATGCGGGTTGACTGTACTGGGATGTGCGGCCAGTGCGAGGTGCCGAAGGGGGCGGCGGCGCAGGTCCCACTGGAGAGGCAAGCCGTCGTCCGCTGGGCGGCAGGCAGAACGCCTGTGTCGGGGGCCAGGACCGTCGGTGGCCGTCGTCAAGGGGGGTCCGAAAGGCATGGCGAGCACACTCCGTCTCGACATTGGAAATCCATAGTGCGGACGGTGACCTTCCCGAGGGCACCCCTGCGCCCTTAGGTTTTTGCTCGGCAGCGCGCGCGTCCTCACTGCAGAGGGTGCCCGTGTTTCCTCGCCGGCCTGCGCCCCGTCTCGCCACCGCTCACGGGTTGTGGGTCCGAGCTCTCCGAGGTGCTTCTTCGGGCCTCTTCGGGGCGCTCTCGAGGGCCTCTTCGGAGCAGTTGGGCACCATCTTGGGGCGATACTGGGGGCCATCTGGGGCGATATTCGAGCGAGATGGCCCCAGAGGCCCTCTTAGGGGGCCTCTGGGGCCACCTTGGGGCGATATTGGAGGCCTCGTGGGCCGCCTTGGAGCGTCGGAAAGCCGAAAAGGCGAGAACTCCGAACACCTTCAAACGCCGGAGGAAAAACAATGATATCTGCGTCTCGTGGCCCTCCTGGGACGCCTCTTGAAACAGCCTTTAGGCGTCTTGGGCGCCTCTTGGCCAGTCTTGGGGCTATCTTGGGCATATTGGGGCGGTCTTTCGGCAACTCGGGGCCCTCTTGGGCCGGTCTTGAAGGCCTCTCGGGGCCCTCGGGGCCCGCCTTGGGGCCTTCGTGGGCCCGAAAAGCTCACGCGACAACGCTTGGCAACACGCATACATGCCGTCTCCTTCACTTTTTCGAGCCGCAGGGCATCTCCGGGCTCCTGCGGCGCGAGGCGGGAAGGCGGGTGGCGTTGGCACTTCCCGCCGCGCGGGCAAGGACAGCCGCCCCCTCTGACGGTCGCGGCAGGCCCCGCTAGGAGGGGCCCTCGGGCAGCAGGGTCGGGGGGGGGCCCTCTTGGCTGGCATCCCCCCCTGTCCGTCCCTCCTGTCTCCCTCCCCCTCCCTCCTCTTCACCTTCCCCTTTCCTGCTGCAGTTGCCATCGCCTCTCTACAGTGGGAACCCATGCCAAGAAGCGCACGGCTTGCCTCCAGGGTGCCCCGGGTTTCTCGGGTTTCGATGGTTCTGCGATGGAAAGCATGACGCTCTCACACCAAAAGTCAATGGACGGCCTGGGGTCTCAGGGTTGGGCTTCTTGTAGCATGGTTCCTTTTGGTCGAGCTCCCACTGTACTTGTCCCCTCCCATCTCCCTTCCTACCTCCTCACACTGCCCCCCTCGGATCACCTCCCCATCCATGTCCTGCCATTCCCCTTCCTCGCCCTCGCCCCTCACCTCCTCTTCTCCTAGGCCTCCTCTTCCTCCCCTCCCCTACGCCTAAGTCGGGCATGACCCTCTTCAGGAGGAATCTTCAATACCAGTAAAAACATAGTCTGGTGACGATTTGTTCGTGCTCATTTAACACTGTGTTTAATCATTGTTCGACCATTTTGGCTTCTCTTGCAGATCCGCCTGTAAGGGGACATGCCCGACCTGGGCCCACCCAGCCCTGGCCGCTGCAAAGCAGCCCCAGGCTTTGCCCGACGGCTCGATCGATCCTTCCTTCTCCTGCGCGGAGGTCCCCACAGCGCGTGAGCGTGGCGCTGGCCGCCGAGGCGAAGGCCGCCAAGAAGGCCAAGGCGGCGTGGGTTGGGCCGAAGAAGGGCGCCACGGTGAAGATCCTGCGGCCCGAGTCCTACTGGTTCCAGGATCCGGGCGGGTCTTCTGCGTTGGGCAGTCGTGGGCGTCGAACTCTCAGGTGCCGCCCTGCTGCGCCCTTTTTTGAAGCGCAGCTCGTCGTTCCGTTCGGAGGGGGCTCGATGTTCCTCAGGTCTTTCTGTGGTTGTTCCTCTAGTTGTCCTCCTTCGTGCACCCAGGCTCCTTTGATGCCAAACAGGAGTTTCGTTTCTAATGTAGCGTTCCTTGTTGCAGCTGCTTGACTGCACCGTGTTCAAAGCGTCAGTGTTAACACGCTGCGTGTTGGTTCAGCGCTTTGGTCCACGTTTTTGCGAGCGTGTCCCGCCACACCTACGTGGTCAACCTCGGTGTTGAGCTCTGGGTGTGCGTCATGCGTATTGGGGGTAGCAAGGGACTGTTGCGTTTCTGTGATGATAGGAGCAAGTGCGACATGTACCGACATGCGGGTCCTCTGACTCCTCCTCAGAGCAAGGAACATCTACCGATACCGCTTTCAGATATATCGCGTCCAGCACTGACTGGACGGGTGTCACCCTAGGAAAGGAACCATAATTGGTGACGTCCATGTTGTGGGAACGGCCATTCAAGGGAAGATTGCTTCAGTCGCTTATCGGGACCCCTGATGCTATCTGATTATCTTTTTCCCCCATCAGAGCTTGCCTCTGTAGGGGTCCTAGCGGATTCATATGGTTACGTGAGGTGCGGCGCCAATTTGGTGGCCGGCCGCCGGGTGTGCCCGGGGGTGCCCGGGGGGGTGCCCGGGTGCCCGAGTTCGGTGGCCGGTGGCCCGGTGCCGGGTGCCTGGGTGCCCGTGGGTGCCCGGGTGCCCGGGTGCTCGGGAGTGCCCGGAGGTGCCTGGGGGTCCCCCGGTACCCTTTAGCCATATAGCCCTATAGCCTTATAGCTCTATAGCCCAATAGCCCAATAGCCCATATAGCCCACATAGCCCATATAGCCCATATAGCCCATATAACCTTTTAGCTCAATAGCCCTATAGCGCTGTAGCCCGGCCCTATTACCCTATAGCGCTATGGCCCTATAGCCCTAGAGCCCTAGAGCCCTAGAGCTCTAGAGCCCTATAGCCCTATAGCTCTATAGCCATGTAACCCTATAGCCCTGTGGCCCTACAGTCCTATAGCCCCTATAGCCCTATCCCTATAGCACTATACCCCTATAGCCATATCGCCCATACAGCCCCATCGCCCCCAAACAAATAATCCTGGAACGCTTCTGGCTGATACCGTTTTGTTTTAATCCATCGGTTTCTGGTTCTACGAACATTGGGTCTGTATTCGGAACACCCTTGTGTTCTAAGAACATGTTGTGGCAGGCCTATAGGAATGCCGGGACGGTCGGCCCCTGCTCACCTCTTGCCAGATCCGGCGGGGGGGGGGGGGGACAGAAGCAAGAGAGGGTGTCTCAGCCCTATGTAGCAGGTTTTTTATCGCGCGCGCCAAGTGTCGAGGCGATGGCTGATCCATCGCCGCCGCTTGGCGTATCGGCCTTCGGGGACCTGGGCACACGGAGGACACGGATCTGTTCGTCCAAGCCAGGGGCCCGACTGTGTCCGCATCCGCCGCCTGCTTCTGGGGCCCACGGGAGCCGATCCCCCGGGCGGTGGCACTGGACAGACCTCGGCCTCGGAGGAGTGCCCGGGCTCGATCCCGCTTGCGGGGTCCTGGCTGCTGCGGCCGCCCGTCGCTCGCACCACTTCCCGAAGGAGAGGGCGGAGGAGGAGGAGGAGGAGGAGGAGGAGGAGGAGGAGGAGGAGGAGGAGCAGCACTAGGGAGGAGTAGGAGGAGGTGGATTGAGGAGGAGGAGGAGGAGGAGGAGGAGGAGGAGGAGGGGGAGGAGGAGCAGGAGGAAGTGGTGGAGGGAGGAGGAGGAGGAGGAGGAGGAGGAAGAGCTCCCCGCCCCCCCGGCAGGAGCGCGGGACCGTCGTGAACGTGAACCAGAAGCCCGAGGTGAGCTGGTCTTCTTTTCTCCTCGTCCTCGGTGCGCTTTCCCCTTCCCCCCCCGCCTGCCATCCCTCCTCTCCAAGTGACCTTTTTCCTCCCCTGGGGACGAAGTGCGTGAGACGGGGGGTGGGGGATGGGGGGCGGGACGGGGGCCCGTCACGTCGCGATTCGCGCTGGCGCCGTCTTGCTTATATTGATCAGGAGGGGAAAACACAGACACAATTAATCGTCGATTCCGCAGAAAAAATAGGAAAATATGGGAAGTGGGGGGGAAGACAAAAACCCGGGCCCCTTCAGTTACCTCGAGCAATCAAAAATATGGCTCGAAGAGGAGACCTGCATCAACATAATTAAACTGTCGGACCTCCTCGAGGATTCCTGGGCTCGGCGCCCGGACCCCCCTCGCCGTACCTATGGCGCCCCCCATGGCGCGCTGCGCGCGCCTGCGAGGAGGGTCCGACGCCAACCCCCAAAATCCATGCAGAGTTTCGGCAGTTTATGTTTAGCAGTGTCTTCTGCCATCTCATCTGCCGCGCCCCGAGGTGAAGTACCCTGTCACCGTGAAGTTCGACTCGGTCAATTACGCCAACGTCAACACCAACGGCTACGCCCTGTGGGAGGTGGAGGAGGTCTGAGCGCTTCGGGCGGCAGCACAGATGGCTCCTCTGAACGTGTTTTTAAACCGTGGAGCGATGTACGGCTGACTCCCAAAATGCAGACCTGGAACCATGCGCCTAATCCAGTCCTGGCCAGGCCGACTGTGTTCGGACGTGTGGCGGCTCGATCTCTTTTGGTACGTACCCTCCCTTCTGACTTTCTCACAAGTCTCCTGGCGCCAACATCGCAGAGCGGAGTTCGTTCGGAAAACAATGGGGTGGGCCTGGACTGTCCCGGAGAATTTCGTTCCGGATCTCGGAGTGGATTTCGTGCGGATCTGTTTCGGCCAGACGTGAAGACTACAACAAATCCTTGTGAAACTCACTTCGTTTTTGTTCGCTCGCCGCCTCGGGTTTTTTATTACCAGCCTCGAACGTATCCCTATCCCTAAGACTCACACGCCAAAAGGCGATGACAATCTTAGGGATCCGCCCTGAAAAATCAGGGAATCCCTAAGATCGCCATCGTTATGAGGAGCTGCGGAACTCCACGCGCAAAAGCCCGCTGCAGCACGTGCGCAAGGCCGCCGCAGCAGCGAGCCGTGGCTGGATGGAACCCCGGGGCCCGAGACGGGCCTCCCCATGGAGGCCGGCGGCGGCCGTCTCTCAGAAGGGAAAAAAAAACAGACACGGTCAATCGTCGATTCCCCGGAACATGTGGGAACATATGGCTCCTCCTCCTCCTCCTCCTCCTCCTCCTCCTCCTCCTCAAGTGGGGGGGGAGACAAGAACCTGCAAGATATGAGAACACATCGGGCACACTGGTATTTTCTCTGCGTGTGTGTGTTTATTTGTGAGTCCTATCGTGCCCCTTCAGCCCCCGGAGGCCGGCAGCGGCCGTCTCGGCCCCCGTCGAGCCGCCAGGGAGTCCAAGCGCGCTCGGCCGGGCCAGGGGGCCCGTGCGGGTGCCTGGCCGCTGTCCTCCCGCCTCTGGCCCATGCCACCCGACGGCGCGCGGACGGGCGACGCGGCGCTGCCTCTCCCAGGGGGGGCCAGGCCGCTGTCCCTCCCCCGTCTGCTTCCGCCCCCGACCCTCCCTCCACTGGCCTTCCCGCCGAGGGCCGGAACATACAGTCGGCCCAGATTAGTAGGTCGACCCTGCCAAATCAAGGGTGCCCTTGTGTCCCGTGTCTCGCGACCCATGCTTCCTACATTCCTGTGGCGATGCGGCCCTCGGAAGGGTCTTGTGCCGTCTCGCATGTCCTGTCCAATCGAGTCCGCCTGCAGCACCTTGGACCTGTAGCTGTGCCCACCGTCCGGCAGGGCCATGTTGGGCCTCCCTGGAGTCGGGGGCCCCCAAACGGTGTGGTGACCACACCGTGCGGTGAGTCGGTGGGGATTCGGGGTCACCGCACGGTTTTGGGACTCGAGTCGTTCTCCGAGGACGTCTCGGGCGACTGGGGCATCCGAGGTCCCAAAACCGTGCGGTGACGGACCGTGCGGTGAGGTCCTCGGGGGTTTCGAGGTCACCGCACGGTCTGTCACCGCACCGCTTCGGGACTCCAAAGGGAGGTCGGGGCCCTCTCCTCCCCTCGCTTCTCCGTCCCCATCCGGTCCCTCCCCCCCCCTCCCTCCCCCTCCCTCCTCCGGTCCCCTCCCGCCCGTCGGCCTCCCGTCCCCGCCCTCCGCCCCCCCCCCCCCTCTCCATGAGACACAGGCCACCTCCGTGTGGCGTCGCAGCGGCTCCGATTCCTGGCTCTCCGCCCCACAGGCCAGCTGCTCTTGCTCCGGATTCTCCTGGTTCCTGCTTCCATCTTTGTTCCTGCTCCCATTCCTGATTCCGCAGGCCTGATTCCTGATTCCACTCTTTCCCTCTTAGCTCCCATCGCGCCCAGGAGGTCTGGCATCGGTGGCCGGACCTGCCAGGACCAGTCTGGGGTCCTTCTCCTTGGGGCCGCCGAGCACCCGCGGAGTATACAAATGACAGGGGAGAAACTGGAGAATCCAGCACTTTGGCCCGTGGAGCCAGCGACTCCTTCCTCCTCCCTGCTTCCTACACTCTGCCTCTGCCTCTATCCTACCCCTGTCACTGCCTCCTTGACATCATTCTTCCTCCGGAACCATCCACACCCCCAACGGGGCAGGGTAAGTTGGCTCTTCCAGCGTACCCCCTCCAGGTGGGGATGGGCGCTCCGAAACCCGAAGGAGAAGGAGGGGGTAGATTTTCCAGCGGGGCCAAGGTTGCCCCGGTGAGGGGGGGAATGTTTTCCTCCGCTAGAGTTGTCCTCCTGCTCCTGCTCCTCAGTTCCCCGCCCGTCATACAGTGGAGACCCATGCCAAGAAACACCCTGCTTGCCTCCAGGGTGCCCTGGGTTTCTTGGGCTTCGATGGTTTGGTATGGAAACCGTGACGTTCCCACACCAAAAATCGATGGACGTCCTGGGGTCTCAGTGTTGGGGAGGTTTCTTGTGGTCGGGCCCCCACTGCAACGGAATTCCAAGATAAACACATTGCACAGACATGCACTTTCGACGTTCCGCGCGGAGTTCTTGCGCCAGCACATGGGACCCCTTGGCGGCGCCTCCAGCGCCGCCCATGGCTTGCTCCGCGCGCCAGGTCCAAGGACTCCGCGCGGACCCAAGGACTCCGCGCGGACCTCCAAAGGTTTGTGCTTGTGCAGCTTTTCCTCACTCGACTTACGGAATCTGATCAGCCTGGAACAGATCCCTATCTCTATGCTGGGCACCTCCTCATTACGATGCAAATCTTGGGGATTCCCTTATTTTTTGAGGGCGGATCCCTAAGATTGTCATCGCCTTTTGGCGTGTCAATCTTAGAGATAGGGATACGTTCGAGGCTGGTAAGAATCCTCCTCCCCCCAGGGACCACCTCGAACCGATCGACCCCACTCGATGTGGATTCCGGCCGGCCCGAGGAGACCCGATTCCGACACACCGACGATCCGTGCACAGCGCTGCCATGCACCCTTGCGCGGGCGAGCCAATTCGGATCCGATCCCGTGCCGATGCTGCCCGATCCGATGCACGTGCCGATTCGACCCGCCTGTGGCCGAGTCGATACTGGCTGGGCCTGCCCTCCGACCCTCGACTTGTGATGTTCCAACCTACTTTAGCCTTGTTCGCCAGGAAGAGTTGCGAGCGCCCGAAACAAGTACCGAAACTCAAGGGTTTTCACCTGTCGGGCCCTGGGAGACACTCGCCCGACGCTGTTTCGACAACTGTTTCGACACTCTTTTGACACTTTTCCGGGTGCTCGAAATCATTTCTGGGATGCGGTCCTCCAGTAGGATGGGAACATCACAACCCTCGACTGTGGAAGTGGCTCCTGGGTGCCTGCGCCCCCACCGGCCTGCGAGCCGCAGCCCCCGACCCGGGACGGAGGAAGACAGACCCCTGCTGGCCGCGGCCGGCCGCCTTCGCGGGCGGGCGCTCTCCGCTCTCGCAAGGCGGCGGCGCTGCAGCGCAGAGAGGAGACAAGGAGGAGGAGGAGTAGGAGGAGGAGGAGGAGGAGGAGGAGGAGGAGGAGGAGGTGGACGAGGATGAGGACGAAGGGGGAAACGACCGCTGCGCACTCCCCATTTCCCATCTTCCCTCCCCGATGCCCCCCCCCCCCGCCTGCAAGCGCGGAAGGCGAGGGCTCCTGCTGGGTGGGCGGCTACTCGTGGGAGCTGTGCTGCGACCCCGGCGGCGCGGGCCAGCAACCGCGCACACTTGCCCGCCTTCCAGCGAGGGGTGTCCACGCTGCTTCCCCGAACTGGGGATAAAGGGAGGCTCGAGCGAAAGGGGAGACCACACTTCGAAGAACACCAAACGACCTAAACATATACTTCTGGCGCTCCGTGCGGAGTTCTTTGATCTGCGCTGGGCCCCCTTGGCGGCGCCTCTGGCACCGCCCCTGGCGCGCTCCGCGCGCTGGGGATGGGGTCCAGCGCAGATCGAAGAAATCCGCGCGGAGCGCCACAAGTTTATGTTTAGGCCGCTGTTCTTTCTCTAGATAAGGAGTCTCGAGCGAAAGAGGGGGCCACACCACCAGGCGGACCCTGCCTGGCGGCGCGTGCTGGGTGTGGCGGTGTCGCCTCTCTCTCTTCACATGGAGAGGGCAGCGGTGGGCGTGAGGGAGGCCAAGGGGGGGGGGGAGGCGGACGGGAAGGGAGCCGCAGAGCAGGAGGGGGAGGGAGAAGACGTGGAAGAGTGAGGGAGCGGAGGCAGATGGCGCGCCCTCCCATCCTCGTCCTCCCATTCTCCCCGGCACTCCTCTGGCATCCTCCCGTGGCCCCCCTCTCGCCCCTGATCCTCGCCACGTCCTCCCGAGGAGCAGAGCTCCCTCCCCCTCCCTCCCGTCCTACCCGAGGGGCATGGCGGGTCCCGCCTGACCCGCTCTGGCGCTCCCTGACTTTGGAACGGTCACGCGGGGAGCCCCGCGAGTCACGCGACAAGCCCCAGATTTTGCGGCAGTTGGGGTCCCTGGGCCGTTTGCAGCAGTATTGCAGCATTTGATGCAGAGAACCCTAAGGACCTGAGGACATCCCTCTCTCCGCCTCTACGGCACGGGGGCGGATACACGAGCAGATAACCGTGCATGTGCCCAGCTGCCTGCGGCAAGCCCCATCACATTGCCTGCAAAATCGCAGCGGGAAGGAAACTCGAGTGTAGGAGCAGCGCAGTTCCGACGACTCGTCTGAACTGGAATGGGTCGTGACCTCGACCTCATCTTCGTCCGCGCGCTAGGGGGGAGGTCGAGTTCACGCCCCGCTGCAGATCAGCAAGCGGTCTGATTCGAGGTGTGTCGTGAACTCGATCCCATCTCAGTCCGCGCGGTATGGAGGAGGAGGAGGAGGAGGAGGAGGAGGAGGAGGAAGAGGAGGAGGTGGAGGAGAAGGAGAGGTATAGAGCATGACGACAAGGGGGATAAGGCCTTTTTGAGGCTCTGCTGGGGCCTAGGGGGGGGCCCGCCTGCGGGGGGCCTCCTTGGGGCCCCTTGGGTGCCCCTTTGAGCGGCAGGGGCAGTCCTAGGAGGCTCTTGGCCCGTCCGACGCCTTGGAGGCAGTCCTGGGGTCCTCTCTGGCCCGTCTCGGTGCCCTCTCGCGTCGCCTTAGGGGCCGTCCGGGGGCCCTCTTGGGAGACTCTTCGGCCCGCTTGAGGTCCCCTCGGGCCGACGTGGCGCCTCCTTTCGGGGCCCCGTTCATGGAGACATTTTGGATGTCGCTTGGGACGTATGGAGCGGTCCGAAACCCAAGCAGGTAAGGATTCTTGCATCCTCCAAGTACTCGAGGACAATCAGTGTTGTTTTCGCAATTGTTTGTTGGGTGTTCGCCTTTTCGGGCCCAGATCGGCCGAATACGGTTCCGACGGCCCCCGCGGCTGCCGCAAGACGACCGAGGAGTCTCTCAAGAGGGCACCAAGACGGCCCCAGAGGCCCCTTTAGCGCGGCCGCAGAGAGCCCTAAGAGAGTGCGCAGAGCGCCCCCAGAGGCTTCCAGGGAAGCCCAAGAGCGCCATGGGAGGCCGGAAGAAGGGCCCAAGATGGCCCAAAGCAGACTGAAGCCCCCCAAGACGGCCTAAGAGGCTCCGAGGACGGCACACGACCCTGCCAAGAGGACAACCGAGGTTGCCCGAGGAGGCCAAAAGCTTTGATTTCCCTGGGGAGCCCAAGAAGACCGACGAGAACCCGAACAGGGCCCCGAGACGGGCCAAGCTGCCCTGAACGACCGAAGAGAACCCGAAAAGGGCCCCAAGAGGGGCCAAGGCGCCCCGGACGACCCAAGACGTCCCCAGAGCGGCCCAAGAGAGCCCCAAGTTATCCACAAGAGCCCCCAGAGGACACCCCAGAACAGCCCAAGGACGGAGACAGCTTCGACGCCAAGGCTCCTGAGAGCACCAGGTGACCAGAAAGCCCTTTGCACACGAGTCGGTGACGTACACATCTTTGAACGCCAAGGGTACTAAGAGCGAACAGTGGACCAGAAAATTTCGAATGCCCAGGCTCCCACGAGCGACCAGTGACGTAAACAGCTATTCACGCCAAGGGCCCAAGAGCGAACGATTATGTAAACAGCTCTTAATGCCATGGCTCCCACTATTGAGTGGTGACGTTCTACTCTTCAGACGAAGGCTCCCACGAGCGAACGGTGACGTAACAGGCTTTTAATGCCAATGCTCCCAAGAGCTAACGATGACGTGAACAGCTCTAGACGCCAAGCCTCCCAACAGCGAACGGTTACCAACACAACTCTTCACACCAAGGCTCCCAAGAGCGATCGGTGACATGAAAATGTTCTCAACGCCAAGGCCCTCCAGAGCAAACGGTGCCATGAGTCGGGCGAGTTCCTGAAGCGCTCTTTCCGTTCCCGTGCTGGACCAGGTTCTGACACGTCCATTCCGTACAGTCACGGCGGCGGATAGACATACGGCTTGCATTAACACACGCATGTATTCATATGTATAGGTTGTCGCTTACACTCTTCGAAATCGTTCATGAGGACACACTGCGTTGGTGATTTGATCATGGACTCCTCGTTGATTGCAACCATCGAGGTTTCGCGTCGAAGACCGTCGAGCACCATCAGAGACCACCGAACGCATCCGAAGACCGCGCCTGCCCGATGGGCAACTCGGGGCTCATGGTCGAGCATGTGCACATTTAGAGAGAGAGAGAGAGGAGAGAGAGAGACAGAGAGAAAGAGAGGAACAAACACGAGAGAGAGAGAGAGACAGAGAGAGAGAGAGGAGACAACACACAAGAGAGAGAGAGAGAGACAGAGAGAGAGAGGACAAAAACACAAGAGAGAGAGAGAGAGATGCTACGCAAAGAGGAGCGGGATAACCACAGGCACAGAGCCTCCGGGGATCGCCTCCTGCGGGGGGGGGAGCAGCCGAAGAGCCGGGGCCTCGCTCCCCCGCCCTCCTCGGCAGGCACGCGGTGGCTCTCCGACCCCTCTCCTCAGGGGGAGGAGGAGGAGGAGGAGGGGAAGGAGCAGGACAGGAGGAGGAGGAGGAGGAGGAGGAGGAGGAGGAGGAGGAGGAGCAGGAGGAGGAGGAGGAGGAGGAGGAGGAGGAGGAAGGAAGAGATAACTATGGACCTGTGGGGGAATCCTGGGATTGGTGTCTATTTGCTTGTGTGTCCCTGGGCCCCCTGAGGGAGGGGGTGCGGCAGAGGGACCCCGGCGCTGCCATTGGCAGCCACAGCATCGGATGCGAGGGGCTACAGCCGCGTTCCTGCTCCAGCCTGTAGTTTCCACGCCCAGGCGGCCGCGCGGAGCAAGAGCCTTTTTTTTTCGGGGGCGGGGGCCCGTCGTGAAGCACATCGCGGCATCTGGACGCAGGGCCCATGCATGTCGTGCGGTTTCCGGAGCGTCGGACGATCCGCGCCTACATGTAAAGTTGACTAGGACAACGGCTGCAGTGATACAATCCGCTGGCACTTAGAGTGCTGAGGATCACACAGACAACTAATCGTCGAACTCCCTGGAAAATATGGGAAAAGATGGGAAGTGGGGGGCAGACGAAAACCCAAAATACATTGGAAAACTATGGGGAGTCCTGTCAGTTGTGTCTATTGTGCTGGCCTCCGGCCAGTGCCGCCGATCCGGGGGGGCTCCGGAAGTGGAGTTTTCTATGTCCCCCTGTCCCTGGGTACCGACAAACATCGTAAATGACGTCGGAAATATCCCCTGTGTACCGAACAACGTCGGAAATGACATCGGAAATAACGTGCGCCCCCCCGCCCCCCTGCAGAGCGAAGCTTGAGCGAGCTCAAGTCCACGCTCTCAGAAACTCACACGCCGGATCTGCGGATTTATTTGTCTGTCCCAGGGCCCCTTTCAGAGGATCCGGAGCAGCGGCAGGTGAAGCTCACGACCAGGTTCTCTCTCGGACCTGCCTCTCTGCTCCGCTCCTCAAGCCGCGGCGTCGGTCCGGGAGGTGGGGCCCCTCGAAACGGGGACGACCACGCTCGTCGAGCTCTTTGTTCCAGGGCGCCCACGTCCTTACGCACTGTTCACTTCTAAGTCTTAGTTTTTTGTTGGGGGGGGCAAGATCCTTTCATTTCTGACTGTTCTATCCTGGGCCGCTTCCTTGCCACTACGGGGCCAGGAACAATTAGAAACGAGCACAATTTAAAATGAGCACGATTAGAAATGAACGACGTATACGTTTGCCGGTGCTTACTAGCACATGCTCCCCAACCAGCCGTCGACTCCTGGAGCCGCCTGGCTCACCAGTTTGATCAGCCCTCCAGGGCGGACGGGCCCCGAGGGGGGATGGCAGCATCCGCTGGACCTTTTCTCTGCTGCCCAGCAGCCCGCAGTCCATAGGCATAGGAGATCTCTGCAGGTCTCGGGGAGGTCGCCGGAGGTCTCCGCAGGTCCCCCCAAGAGGACCCCGGAGGCGTCGGGCGAGGGGCGGGCCAAGGACCACTGGGAGCCTCGGAGGGCGGCAGTCGAGGATGCAGATCTTTGAGGGGCAGTGTCACGAACGAACAGCACACACCCATACCCATAGGGGGGTCGTTGGGAGGAGGACTGGCTATGGGTATGGGTGCGGGTTGTCGGACCCTGGGGAACGCTCCCGTTCGAGCGGGGACCCCCATTCGACAACACGCACCCATAGCCCTCTCCGAACCCCCCTATGGGTATAGGTGTGTGTTGTTGGTTCGTCACAGTGCCCATGTCGGTGGCCCCTGGCGAGGATTCGGGCCCCTCGCCCAAGTGCAAAACGCTCTCCCTCGATTGGCACCTCCCCAGTCTACTCCCTTCTCGAGCCTGGCGGGGGGAGAAGGGGGGAGAGAGGGCAGGTAACGTCACGATTCGCGCTGGTATCGCCTGAGATGCTTCAGATTGACCAATTCCCAGACGGCGCCGTCGCGAATTGTGACGTGACCAAAAGAGGAGGGGCGGGGCGGGTAACGGGCGTCATCGTGAACTCGCCAGTTCCTGAGACGTACACGACCTGTTCTCACGCGAGGCGACTGTTTGTACGAACGGCCACACAACAGAACAAATCGCCAGAGACGCACGACCTGCGCTGCCCTGCACTCCGCCGTGACTGCCAGGAGCCGACGAAGGTGGCGACTGCTGCGCACTTCGAAGCCCCCTGTCGGGGCCGCGAGGTCTCGCCTGGAGCTGTGCTGCCCTCGCCTCCGCCGTGCCTCCTGGGGGCCCAGCGAAAGTGGCGACAGCTGCGCAGCTTCAGGCTCCCGACAGCGCCGCGAGGTCTCGAAGTGATCCGCGCTGCCCTGCACGCCGCCGTGCTTTCCAGGGGCCCAGCGAAAGTGGCGACCATTGCGCAGTTCGCAGCCCCCCACGGGGCCCCGAGGTCTCGCTTGGATGTGTTTTGCTGTCACCTCTACCGTGCCTCCTGGGAGCCCGCGGAAGTGGCAGCAGTTGCGCAGGTCGCAGCCCCCGAGGGAGCTGCCAGGTCTCGAAGTGATCCGCGCTGCCCTGGCCTCCGCCGTGCCCCCCAGGAGTTCACGAAAGTGACGACAGTTGCCCAGGTCGGAACTGCGAATTGTCAGTTCGAAGCCCCCGGGGGAGCCACGCGATCTCGGAGTGATCCGCGCTGCCCTGACCTCGGCCGTGCGTCCCAGGAGCCCACCGACGTGGCGACAGTTGCGCAGTTCGCAGCCCTCGGAGGAGCGCACAGCATGCAGGAGCAGATAGGAGGATGAGGAGGAGGAGAGGGGAGGATTATGATGATGATGATGATGATGATGATGATGATGATGATGATGATGATGATGATGATGATGATGATGATGATGATGAGGAGGGAGGAGGAGGAGGAGGAGGAGGAGGAGGAGGAGGAGGAGGAGGAGGAGGGCGAGGAGGAGGAGGAGGAGGAGGAGGAGGAGGAGGAGGCGTGGAGGGAGGAGGAGGAGGAGGAGGAGGAGGAGGAGGAGGAGGAGGAGGAGGTAGGAGGCGGGGAGGAGTGGGAGGAGGAGGAGGAGGAAGAGGAAGAGGCAGGAGGAGAGACGGAAGGAAGGAAGGAAGACTGGAAGAATGGCGCGCGAGCAGTGCCCTTTTCAGAACGAGAGCCCAACACGGGACGGCAGGGAGACTTTGGCTCCTCTGTCCTCGGATTTCCCCCCCCTTTCGCGGGCACGTTTGAGCCCAGGGCCTCTCGCGAGCTTTGAGCAGCCCTCTTCCTCCTCGTGCTCCTCCTCCTCCTCCTCCTCGTGCTCCTCCCCCTCTTCCTCCTCCTCGTGCTCCTCCCCCCTCCCTCGCGGGCAGTTCACCCCGCCCGCCCGCCGGGCCCAGGCCACGGCCCCGGGGGCAACCCGAGCTGCTGGAACGACGCCTTCAGCTACGACCCCTGCTGCACCCAGGCCCGCGGGCGCGCGGGCACCCTCCCCCCCCTCCCGGCGCGGCGCCCGCGGCCCGCCGCCGCAGGTGGTGTTGGCCCCGGGGGTGCAGTGCGGCTGTGGGGCACCTGCCCGTCTCGGCGGCGAGCGAGGGGGGAAAGTGAGGAAGAGACGGCCTTTCTCAGAGGGCGGCGGGGCTTCTCAGAAGCCCCCGCGCCTTCTGAGAAGAAGTGTTCTGCGTCTTCGGGGAAGGCTCACGTAGAAGCCGTCTCAGAAGGCCAGGGGACTTCGAACCTTCTGATAAGGCCCGCCCCTTCCTTCTCCCCCCTTCCCGGGCTCGCCGCGGGGTCCGTGTCGTGTGGACGCGGCGGCGACCCCAGCGCGGTGGCCCATAGCCAGCCAGTAAGAAACGGTCTGGCGATCAATCAACCCATACCCCCGTCGTCATGTTTTTTCATAACGTCGACCCCCAGAGGCTCCGACCCATTCCCTGGGACCCCTTTTTCGTCCGGAGCCGTTTTTTGACGGTCCCAGGGCCCGGTAAGGGCCCCCAGGAGCCGAAATTAGCGAAAAGCCTCGCGTCGTGTGGGTATGGGTCCCAAAGGTATATATCACCACCTCCCTCGTCCCCTGCCTATGGCACGCCCCTCTACAGGAGGAGTATTCGAAACTAGTATCACAAAAATAGTCTGGGGACGACGTTCTGATTACGCAGTGCAATTTTAGAAGGTGCTTTTTGACTATGCTTCATTCTCCTTCCGAAATCCGCCTCCAGGATTAGGTCTGGCATGTCCCCCTGCAGGGGGATTTTCGGCCAAAAAAATACAAATACCGTCGAAAATGCCCCCTGCAGGGGGTTAGGCCCGACTTAACTCCAGGAGCACATGCCCGGCGCGTCGTCGGGGGCCGAGGAGGAGGGGGAGGAGGGGGGGAGGAGGAGGGAGGAGGAGGAGGAGGAGGAGGAGGAGGAGGAGGAGGAGGAGGAGGAGGGAGGAGGAGGAGGAGGAGGAGATGCCCCCCCGACAGGTCGGCGAGCCGCCGGGCCGCCCGGGGCCCCTGCGGTGCCCGCCTCGGCGCCCGGGCTGCAGGGCCCGGCGGCCCGGCGGCAGCGGCTGCGCCCCGGGGGGGGAGTCTCGAGTGGAGTTTTGAGTCCCTCCTCCTCCTCTCCTCCTAACTCTCCTCCTCCTCCTACCCCTCCTCTCAGAGTCTTGAGCCTGGAGTCATCCTCCCTCCTCTTCTCCTCCTCCTCCTCCTCCTCCTCCTTCTCCTCCTCCTCCTTCTCCTCCTCCTCTCTCGTCTCCTCCTCTCGCCACCCAGAGTCTGAGCCTCTCCTCCTATCCTCCTTCTCCCCCTCCTCCTCCTCCTCCTACTCCTCCTCCTCCTCCTCCTCCTCCTCCTCCTCTCTGGGCTGTAGGGTCTGGCGGCCGGGCGGCAGCGGCTGCGCCGGCCCGGGGGGGGGGGTCTCGAGCAGTGGCGAAGCGTCTTGGCTGGCCTATAGCCCTACCAAACAGTTTTCTAAGAACCTCTTGTGGTTCTCACGAAATGTTGTAGGAGCATTTCTGGCGGAGACTGTCCTGTTTTACCACATCGGGTTTATGTTCTAAGAACGTTGTTTTTGTTATTAGAACACTTGCTGGGTTCTAAGAACATTTCGTGGTAGGATTATAGGAATGCTAGGACGGTCGGTTCCTGCTCAAGTCTCGTGTCGACCCAAAAGGGGGTCCAGCGACAAGGGGGTTGTGCAATAGATTTGGTGCAGTACATGTGTGGGGTTGCAACACATCTGGGGCGTGCAATACATTGCGGTGCGCGAGTGCATTGCTGGATTTTCGCGTGCAATGCAGTCGCTGCAACACAGTGCAACACGGTTCTTCGTCGCCATACATTTGCGATCCAGCTGCCCCAGAGCTATTGCACCGCCCCCTTTACAGCTGGAGCCCCTGCTGGGTCAACCACCAGAGGGTCGTCGGCGTCCTCGCCGTGGGCCTCGTGGCCCCGTGGTCCGCTTCGCTGTACCTCAGTCGGGCGTGTCCCTCTACAGGAGGAGTAGTCACAAGTGGTACAAAACATCGTATGGGGACGATCTTTCCTTTAATTTTGTTGCATACATAATAACAAACACAGATTTTCGGAGTAGTGTTGATTCTTCGTCCAAAATCCGCCTGTAGGGGGACATGCCCGACCCAACGCGATACAGTGGAGACCCATGCCAGGAAACATCCTGGTTGCCTCCAGGGTGGCCTGGGTTTCTCGGGGCTCGATGCTTTTGCTATGGAAAGCGTGACGTTCCCACTCCAAAAGTCCATGGACGTCCGGGGGTCTTAGGGTTAGGTTTCTTGTCTGAGGTTTCTTGTGGATTGGCCTCCACTGTATACTCCATGTTGCCCTCCCCAGACCCCCCCTCGATTCCCCTCGACTGATTGAGAAACAAATTAAAAAAAACACGACGCGAGGGTGTTGCTTGCATTTTCGGCCTCCAGGGGCCCTTACTGGGACTCGGGATCGTCAAAGCAAGAGTCGGGATGGAAGACCGGTCCCAGAGCATGGGCCCAGACCTCAGGGAACGGGTCGGACCTCTGGGGAATGACCCCTCCTCCACCTCCTCCTCCTCCCCCTCCTCCTCGTCCTCCTCCTCCTCCTCCCCCTCCTCCTCCTCCTCCTCCTCCTCCTCCTCCTCCTCCTCCTCCTCCTCCTCCCCCTCCTCCTCTCGCCACGCCTAGAGTCTGGAGCCTTGAGTTCTCCTCCTTCTCCTCCTCCTCCTCCTCCTCCTCCTCCTCCTCCTTCCTGATCTTGAGTCTTGTGTTCTCCTCGTCCTCGTCCTCCTCATCCCCCTTCTCCTCTTGCCACCACGCCTTGAGTCTTGAGTTCTCTTCCTCCTCCTCCTCCTCCTCCTCCTCCTCCTCCTCCTCCTCCTCTTCTCCACCCCCTCCTCTCGCCAGGCCTTCAGTCTTTAGTCTTGAATCCTTCTTCTTTTCCTTCTCTTCCTCCTCCTCCTCCTTTGGGCCTCAGCCCCCACGTGCGGGCCCCGCCGCAACGCCTTGCGTCTTGAGATCTCCTCCTCCTCCTCCTCCTTTTCCTCCCCATCCTCCTCTCGCGACGCCTTGAATCTTGAGCGTTGGGTCCTCCTCCTCCCCCTCGTCCTCTTCCTCCTCCTGCTCCTCCTCCACCTCCTCCTCCTCCTCCTCCTCCTCCTCCTCTCGCCACGTCTAGAGTCTTGAGCCTTGAGTTCGCCTCCTCCTCCTCCTCCTCCTCCTCCTCTTCGTCATCTTGAGTCTTGTGTTCTCGTCCTCCTCGTCGTCCTCCTCCTCCTCATTCCCCTTCTTCTCTTGCCACGCCTTGAGTCTTGAGTTCTCTTCCTCACACCACCTCCGAATTTCTGAAGGGTTTCGAGAACGGTGTCGACAGCCATTCGAAACCTAGACTTCCGAGGCCTCCCACACCTTCAGAGGGCAACCGCGTGTGTCTATCCTCCCGTTCGTCGTCCGCCCCCTTCCGCCATCCTCCGCGTCGGTCCGCCGAAGGTGCCGGCGAGCGGGAGGTTCTCGAGAGGTCGTTCGGCACGAAGTTAGACGCCGTGCTTGCGCAGAACGGGCTCGGCCTTGCTGGCCTGGAGGCTGACCTGATGCACTCGCTCCGCGTCCCGGAGACGGCGTCCCACAATTCAAATGAGAAGTTACTTTCATATGCTTGTTCCTCTGCCTCCATTCCCGCCTCTGGCTGTGCTTCATATCAGTATGAGCCCGACAGGGATTACCTCATTTGTCTCGCCCCTGCTTCCCAGAAGCCTTTGGTATCTGCACACAATGCACGTTACTCTCATATCGCCCCGAATGCCGCGTGGTACAGAGTGGCGCTCTTCGCCACAGCGAAGGCCACATGTATGTATGAGAATCCTTCCCCGTTCTCGCCGCCCCCTCCCTTTCTCTTCGTCCGCCTCCTGGTTCTCCCGCTTCTCCTGCTGCTGCTGCTGCTCCTCCACCTCCTCCTCCTCCTCCTCCTTATCCTCATCCTGGTTCTCCTCATCCTGGTCCTCCTCCTCCTCCTCCTCCTGGTCCTCCTCTTCCTCCTTCCTTATTTTGCTTCTTTTGCTCCTGCTCATCCGCCACTTCCTGATCCTCCAGTGTGCCGCGCCCGCCCCTTCTCAGACTACCAGCATCCCACGGTGGGTGGCATCTCAGGGCCCTCCAGAGGACACCCTGGTGAGCGGACGGAAAAGGGCTTGGCGGCATAGGGAGGGGGTTCGAAAAGGGAGGGTTATCCCAAGGTGGGGCTGGGGAACGGGCCCAGCCATATGCTCCCGTTGAACGCGCTTCCTTCTTCCAGGGGCCGTGCGGAGCGACTTTCTTTCCAACCCCAGCTTTGCCCCAAACCCACCTTTCTGCCCCCCCGAATAGGGAGGGATGGGCGCGAAGGGCAGAAAGTCATGTGGCGCGAGCGCGCCCACAGTCAACCCTGATGATAAGGATGATCGACTTCCCAAGGATACCCTTGCATCCTTTCCTCTTCGGTCATCTTCGGTCCATCCTTAGCCACTTCCGATGGCCAGCCCCGCTCGAAGTGCCTCGTCATGAGCGTCCAGGGCCCTTGCATCCTTGCGTCGCATCCTGACTATGTGGGTTGACTGTGGCTTGCCCTGTGTCCCCTCGCCTTCCATTATTTCCCCCTCTTTCCTCTCATCTTCCCTCCTCCTGCCTTCTGCCCCCCCCTCTCCCCCCCTTTGCCCGTTCTGCTCCTGCCCAGTTTCCTGCGTATCCTGCTGCTGCCCTCCTCAGTTCTCCTCTTCCTTTTTCAGTTCACTCCTCCTTCTCCTCCTAATCTTGTCCTCTCCTCATCCTCCTGCTTCCTTCCATTCACTCCTCCTGTCCTCCAAGTCCTGCTGCTGCTGCTGCTGCTGCTGCCACTGCTGCTGCTGCTGCTGCTACTGCTGCTGCTACTACTGCTGCAGTTTTCCCGCCTTCTCTCGCGGCACGCTGTGGCTGCTTTAACGCGGACCCTAACATGTGATCATCTACATGATTGTATATATATATATGTATACATATATATGTAGATACATGTTTCCATACATATTTGTATAAATATATATATATATATATATATATATATGTAAGTGCAGTACTTCGTGGAAGGAGCAGAAGATAGAGGGGACGCCGGGTTGACGTGACGAGGACAAGGAGCAGCACGGGGGCTCGTCGTCGTGCCTGTTGACTGGACCTGGAGGAGGAGGAGGAGGAGGAGGAGGAGGAGGAGGAGGAGGAGGAGGAGCAGGGGGGGGAGGAGGAGGGGGAGGAGAAGGAGGAGGAGGAGGACGGGAGGACGGGAGGAGGCCGAGTGGAGAAGGGGGGAGGAGGAGTAGGAGGAGGAGGAGGAGAAGGAGGAGGAGGAGGAGCAGGAGGAGGAGGAGGGGAGGGAGAGGAGATCGAGGAGTAGGGAGGAGGGATGAGTCGGCGCAGGACAGACGAGGAGAGGGGGAACAGTCATGGGAGCTGGCCCGGGGGGCAAGAGGAGGATAGGGGGTGCCAGGAGAACCGGAGCATGTCGGGCCCCATGATCCGGGCGTACCTGGCCTTGGTGCTGCACCGCCAGGGCAAGGAGCCCGCTACCACGACGCTGCAGGGAAGCAAGCAGTTGAGGAGGAGGAAGAGAAGGAGGACGAGGAGGAGGAGGAGGACCAGGAGGAGGAGGAGGAGGACCAGGACGAAGACCAGGAGGAGGACCCGGAGGAGGAGGAGGAGGAGGAGGAGGTGGAGGGATGAGGAGGGGGGAGGAGGAGGAGGAGGAGGAGGAGGAGGAGGAGGAGGAGGAGGAGGAGGAGGAGGAGGAGAAGATGGAGGAGGAGAGGAGGAGGAGAGGAGGAGGAGGAGGAGGAGGAGGAGGAGGGAGGAAGAGGGGGAGGGGGAGGAGGAGGAGGAGGAGGAGGAGGAGGAGGAGGAGGAGGAGGAGGAGGAGTAGAAGGAGGAAGAGGAGGAGGAGGAGGAGGAGGAGAAGGAGGAGGAGGAGGAGGACCAGGAGGAGGAGGAGGAGGTTCTCGAGGCCAGGAACTTGTGGAGTCGCTGTGGGCCCCAGAGACGCTTTTACGATCTTCAGGCTGGTCCTCGTCATTACCCTTACCCTTACCATTACCATTTCCATTACCATTATCATTGCCATTACCATTACCATTACAAGTACCATTACCATTGCCATTGCCATTGCCAGTACCAGTACAATTGCCATTGCCAGTCCATTCCCAACACCATTACCATTACCATTGCCATTGCCATTACCATCACCATTATCATTACCTTTACCTTCACCTTTACCTTTACCCTGACCCTTACAATTCCCATTTCTGTTACCACTACCACGACCACTTCCATTACATTCCCATCCCCATTCCCATTTGCATTACCGTTACCTTTACATGTACTTTTACCTTTATCTTTACCAGTACCATTGCCATGACCATTACCATGGCCATTACAATTGCCATTACCATGGCCATTACAATTGCCATTACCATTGCCGTTGCCATTGCCATTGTATTGCCACTGCCAGTCGCTACCCCGTTTCCATTACCATTGCCATTACCGTTACCATTACCAGTACCAGTACCATTACCATAACCATTGTCATTACCACTGCCATTGACATTACCACTACCACTACCATTCCTTTTCCCATTACCGTTACAATTCGAATTCCCATTTCCATTCCCATCCCCATTCCCATTCAGATTACCATTACCATTACCTTTATCATTATCATTACCATTACCATTACCATTACTATGACCATTACCATTACCATTACCATTACCATTACCATTACCATTACCATGGCCATGGCCATTGCCATTGCCATTGCCATGACCGTTGCTATTGCCATTGTTATTGCCATTGCCTGTTGCTACCCCGTTACCATTGTCATTACCATTACCGTTACCGTCAATACCATTACCAGTTCCATTACCATTACCACTGCCATGGCCATTACCATTACCTTTACCTTTTCCCTTATTGTTACCCTTTACCTTCTACCTCACCCTTTACCTTTATGGCAACGGCAATTACAATGGCAATTGCGATTCCCATTTCCGTTGCCACTACCACTACCATTTCCATTCCCGTTGCCGTTCCCATTCCCATTCCCATTCCCATTCACATTACCATCACCATTACCATTACCATGGCCATTACCATTGCCATTGCCATTGCCATTGCCAATACAATTACCATTGCCTTTGCCACTACCATTGCCCTTACCATTTTCATTGTCATTGCCATTGCCAGTCGCTACCCCGTTACCATTACCATTATCGTTACCATTACCAGTACCATTATCATTACCTCTGTCAGTATCATTACCATTACCACTGCCATTGCCATTAGCCACTACCATTGCCATTGCCATTACAATTGCCATTACCATTGCCACTACCATGACCATTACCATTACCATTACCCCTACCATTACCATTACCATTACCATCGCCATTACCGTTACCGTTACCGTTACCAGTACCGTTACCATTACCATTACCATTGTCATTACCATTGTCATTACCATCACCACTACCATTACCATTTCCATTCCCGTTCCCTTTCCCATTCCCATTCCCGTTTCCATTCCCATTCCCATTACCATTACCATTACCATTACTTGTTACCATTACCATTACAATTACCATTGCCACGGCCATTGTCATTGTCATTGCCATTCCCATTGCCATTACTATTACCATTACCGTTGCCATTGTCATGACCATTGCCAGTCGCCACCCCGTTACCATTACCATTACCGTTACCAGTACGATTACCAGTGCCATTACCATTCCCTTTGCCATCACCATTACCATTACCATTGCCATTGCCATTCGAGGACCCCAGTAGGAATCATTCAGTGGAGGGTTTCAGTATGAATCCACATGTGGATGATTTCAGTAGGAATCACGTAGTTGAGGCTTTCGATAGGAATCTTTCTGTCGAGGATTTCAATACGAATCCTTCTTGTGGGGACGTTCAATAGGAATCCTTCTAGGGGGGAGGGCAGGTGAGGCCACGTCGCATTCCTTTTTTTCGCCGCCGACCCCCCCCCCCTCAAAAAAATGAAAAACAAACAGCGAATCTCAAGTCCGATTGTTTTTTTTGTTGAGGGGGGGGGAGGGGGGGCATCAGGAGAAACAACAACAGAGAGGGAGGAGGAGGAGGAGAGGGAGGAGGAGGAGGAGGAGGAGGAGGAGGAGGAGGAGGAGGAGGCGGAGGGCCATTACCATTGCCATTGTCATTGTCATTGCCATTTCCATTGGCATTGGCATTGCCATTACCATTACCATTATCGTTGTCATTGCCATTGTCAGTGCCATTGCCAGTCGCTGTCCCGTTACCATTACCGATACCATTACCAGTACCATTACCATTGTCATTACCATTGCCATTGCCATTGACTTTGCCATTGCCATTGACATTGCCATTCGAGGACCTCAGTAGGAATCATTATGTGGAGGGTTTCAATAGGAAGGAATCCACATGTTGAGGATTTCAGTAGGAATCATTAAGTGGAGGGTTTCGATAGGAATCCTTCTGCCGAGGATTTCACTATGAATCCCTCTTGTGGGGGCGTTCAATAGGAATCCTTCTAGGGGGAGGGCAGATGAGGCCACGTCGCATTCTTTTGTTCGCCGCCGATCCCCCCCCCAAACAATGAAACAAAAACATCTGCGAATATCAAGTCCGATTGTTTGTTATTCTTTTCTTTTGGGGGGCACCATGAGAAAAAAAGGCAGAGAGAGAGGAGGGAGGAGGAGGAGGAGGAGAGGGAGGAGGAGGAGGAGGAGGAGGACGACGACGACGACACAGATCAGAGTTTGCACAAAAACAGTCGCGAACTCAGCGCGAAAGCCTCGCGCGCGCGCCCTCGAACCCCTGCGACTCCACAATGTCCCGTTCTCGAGGAGGAGGAGGGGGGAGGAGGAGGGGGGCAGGAGGAAGAGGCGGAGGCGGAGGCGGAGGAGGAGGAGGAGGATGAGGAGGAGGAGATGGAGGAGGAGGAGGAGGAGGAGGAGGAGGAGGGGGAGGAGGAGGGGGAGGAGGAGGAGGAGGAGGAGGAGGAGGAGGAGGAGGAGGAGGCGTAGGAGGAGGAGGAAAAGGAGGAGGAGGAGGAGGAGGAGGAGGACGAGGAGGAGGAGGAGGAGGAGGAAGATGAGGAGGAGGAGGAGGAGGAGGAGGCGGAGGACGAGGAGGAGGAGGACCAGGAGGGGGACGAGGAGGAGGTGGAGGAGGAAGAAGAGGATGAGTGGCGGCTGAGGGTCCCCTGGTTGGACCTGGGGTCGGGTTGAATGGGTTTCTTATAATGGCAGGGCAGAGGCCCTGGCGCCATCCAACTTTTTGGGAAGTGTGAGGGGGCGGTGGAGACTCGGCAGCCTGCGAGACTCTGGAGAAGCCCGCCACAGGCGCCAACGTTTCACAAATTATACAATGAGCCCGCCGCAGGCGCCGATTTTTTCCTTCAAACCAATATACATCGGTCGCGGGTGGCGGGTGGGTCGCGGGTGGGTCGCAAGTGGGTGGCGGGTGGGTCGCGGGTGGGTCGCGGATGGGTCGCGAGGTGGGTCGCGGGGTGGGCCGCGGGTGGGTCGCGGGTGGGTCGCGGGTGGGTCGCGGGTTGGGTCGCGGGGCGGGCGGGTCGCGGGTGGGTCGCGGGTTGGGTCGCGGGTGGGTCGCGGGGTGGGTCGCGGGTTGGGTCGAGGGGTGGGTCGCGGGGTGGGTTGCGGGGTGTATCGCGCGGGTGGGTCGCGCGGGTGGGTCGCGGGTTGGGTCGCGGGGTGGGTCGCGGTGTGGGTCGACGGGTTGGGTCGCGGGGGGGGGGGGGGGGGCGACGACAACAAACAACAACCAACAAACAACACACAACACACACAACAACAACAAGGACAACAACAACAACAACAACAACAACAACAAGGAACAACCGCGCGTGAGTGCCCCATGGTCCCAAACCTCGTTCCCCGCGTTCTTCCCTTAGGTGGAACCACGCGTCTGTGCCCCATTGGCCGGTTCGGACCCCCCCAAAAAACAACAACCAGCAACCTGCAAGCAGCAACTTGGGACTCCGTTCCCTGCTCCGCTGGCGAATTCGCTCGCTGAAGGGTGTGGACTCATCATCCATGCCATTTTGCCGTGTCTGCACCAGCGAAGCTCCGGAATCCACGGAGTCCTCTCGGATCCTTAGGTGGATCCAGCTCTACTACAATCCTATTACTGCTGGATCCACGTCTACTACAATCCTATTAGTGGAAGTTCCACCTCTACTGCAATCCTGTTAGTGGTCGGTCCACCTCGACTAGAATTCTATCTGTGGTGGGTCCACCTCTACTACACTCCGATTACTGCTGGATCCACCTCTACTACAATCCTATTTGTGGTGGGTCCATCTCTACTACAACCTTATTAGTGGTGGGTCCACCTCTACTACATCCCTAATGTTGGTGGGTCCAGTTCTACTACAATCCTATTAGTGGTGGGTCCACCTTTACTAGAATCCTATCACTGGTGGATTCAGCTCTACTACAATCCGATTAGTGGTGGATCCACCTCTACTACAATCCTATTAGTGGTGGATCTACTACGATCCTAGTAGTGGTGGATCCAACTCTACTACAATCCTATTACTGGTGGATCCAGCTCTACTACAATCCAGCCCTTTTTCGTTTGGGGAAGTCCTCCTCCTCCTCCTCCTCCTCCTCCGCCTCCTCCTCCTCCGCCTCCTCCTGCCTCCTCCTCCTCCTCCTCCTCCTCCTCCGTCTCCTCCTCCTCCTCCTCCTCCTCCTCCTCCTCCTCCTCCTGGCGGAGGAGGCCAGAAGGGGGGGACCTATCCACCCTACCCAAGTTCTCACCGAATCTCGCCGTGCTTCGGCCGTCTTCAAGCTGTCTGCAGCCGTTGGGCTGTGGGTTGCCTACGATCAGTCGTCGTTGAGAGGGGTGTGCCGAAATGCGGTTTCGGTGGGGCTCCCTGCGAGACCCAGGGCCGCGATCCTCGAGAGGGATGTGCCGAAAAGAAGCTTCGGTGGAGCTCCTTGTTGTGCCAGGGCCAGGATCCTCGAGAGGTGTGTGCCGAAATGAAGCTTCGGCGGAGCTCCCTGCGGGGCCAAGCCCAAGATCATCGAGAGTGGTGTGCTGAAATGAAGCGTCGGTCCAGCACCCTGTGGGGCCAGGGCCACGGTCCTCGAAATGTGTGTGCCGAGATGAAGCATCAGTGGAGCTCCCTGTGGGACCAGGGCCACGATCCTCGAGAGGGGTGTACCGAAATATAGCTTTGGTGGGGCTCCCTGCGGGGCCAGGGCCACGATCCTCGGGAGGGGCGTGCCGAAATGCGGTTTCGGTGGAGTTCCTTGTGGGGCCAGGGCCACGCTCCTCGAGAGGGGTGCCGAAATGAAGCTTCGGATGAATTCCCTGTGGTGCCAGGGCCACGATCCTCAAGAGGGGTGTACCGAAATGTTGTTTCGCTGGAGCTCCCAGCTGGGAAAGAGCCACGATCCTCGAGAGGAATGTGCCGAAATGAAGCTTGGGTGGAATTCCCTGTGGGGCCAGGTCCACGATCCTCTAGAGTGGTGTGCCGAAATCAAACTTCGGTGGAGCTCCCTGTAGGGCCAGGGCCACGATCCTCTAGAGGGGTTTGCCGAAATGTTGTTGCGCTGGAGCTCCCTGTTGGGCCAGGGAGCTCCCTGTGTGGCCAAGGGCACAATCCTCAAGATAGGTTTGCCGAAATACATATTCGGTGGCGTTCCTTGTGGGGCCAGGGCCACGATCCTCGAGAGGGTTTTGCCGACATGAAGCTTCGGTGGAGCTCCCTGTTGGGCCAGGGCCACGCTCCTCGAGAGGGGTGTACCGAAATGAAGCTTCGGTGGAGCTCCCTGTGGGGCCAGGGCCACGATCCTCGAGAGGGGTGTGCCGAAATGAAGCTTCGGTGGAGCTCCTTGTGGGGCCAGGGCCACGCTCCTCGAGAGGGGTGTGCCGAAATGAAGCTTCGGTTAAGCTCCCTGTGGGGCCAGGGCCACGAGCCTCGAGAGGGATGTGCCGAAATGAAGCTTCGGATGAACTCCCTGTGGTGCCAGGGCCACGATCCTCAAGAGGGGTGTGCCGAAATGTTGTTTCGCTGGAGCTCCCTGTGGGGCCAGGGCCACGATCCTCGAGAGGTGCGTTCCGAAATGAAGCTTCGGAGCAAAGCTTCGGCGGAGCTCCCTGCGGAGCCATGGCCGCGATCCTCGAGAGGGGTGCGCCGACATGCGGTTTCGGTGGAGCTCCTTGCGCGGCCAGGGCCGAGATCCTCGAGAGTGGTGTGCCGAAATGAAGTTTAGGTGGAGCTCCCTGTGGGGCCAGGGCCACGATCCTCGAGAGGGGTGTGCCGAAATGAAGCTTCGGTGGAGCTTCTTGTGGGGCCAGGGCCACGCTCCTCGAGAGGGGTGTGCCGAAATGAAGCTTCGGTGGAGCTCCTTGTGGGGCCAGGGCCACGCTCCTTGAGAGGGGTGTGCCGAAATGAAGCTTCGGTTAAGCTCCCTGTGGGGCCAGGGCCACACTCCTCGAGAGGGTTGTGCCGAAATGAAGCTTCGGTTAAGCTCCCTGTGGGGCCAGGGCCAGGAGCCTCGAGAGGGATGTGCCGAAATGAAGCTTCGGTGGGGTTCCCTGCGAAGCCAGGGCCGCGATCCTCGAGACGGGTGTGCCGAAATGAAGCTCCGGTGGAGCGCCCTGTGGAGCCAAAGCAACAATCCCGTGGGGAGGTCCACCGGAATGAGGCTTCGGTGGGCCTCCCTAAGGGATTGTTGCTGGTTGCTGGTTGCTGGCGGGGGGGCGGGGGACACCGGGCCCCAACCCCGTTTATTCCAACAACAACAGCAGCAACAGCAACAACAACAGCAACAACAACAACAACAACACCAACGACAACAAAAACAATAACGACAACGCAGCAAGCATAATCCTCACCACGGATTCTCACTTCAGCCATGCATCCAGGGACAATGAATGACCGTTTTGCCCCCCCTCTCTCTGACCAACATTCAGAGCCCCAGGGGCGTCATCGAAGGACCTTGCTGCGCTGTTCAGGTGTCTCCTGGGTTGCGGCTCCTAGGAGGTTGAATTCATCATCGGCCATGTCGGCCTAACCCGGCCCAGTCCAATTTGATGCAATCCGACTTACCAGTTTAGTAGCTCCTCGATCTGTAGGCAGAGTCCTGCACGTGCCCGCACGAGGCCTCGCATGACTCGCCACCCAGTGCTGGCCTCTCGAGCGTGTGCTACGACAGAGACGACGAGGAACCACACCAGGCGACCGATGACCGACGACGACGACGACGACGACGACGACGACGACGACTAGCTTGGATGTCTGCGGGGGCCCGCGGGCCCCCGCAGGCCGAGTGCAGTGGCCCCTCGAGGCTCGGGAGGGCCCCAACAATCATGACCGTCGAGCCTGGAGACCGCCCAGCTTGGGTCGACGTGGATCTGATCGGTGGGCCGCGCCGCATCGTCGATGCGTTTTGCGCCGCGCCCGCGGCGTCGGCACTGCATCGGTGACGTCGGCGTGGAGACAACACGGCTCCACATCGAGCCGCGTCACCGGAGCATCGGCGACGTGGCGCGGTCCTCCGACGCCATCTGCTCGGGCCCCAGTTGGGAGGCCTCGGTATGGGGTGAAGAGAAGGGCCCCCAAAGGGGCACTCTAGGGTTATGATGCTCCAACCTACCTTTAGCTTTGATCGCAGCAAACCAGAAAGAACTTCGAGCGCCAGAAAAGTATCCCAAAACTCGAAGGGTTTTCACGTGCAGGGCCCTGGAGACACTGCTCCGATACTCTTCCGACACTCTTTCGACGCTTTCCCGGGTGCTCGAAATCATTCCTGGGATGTGGTCCTTGAGCGCGCTGGGAGCAACACGACTCGAGGGCCCCTCTGTTGGGGCCCGCAGGGGCCCTGAAGAGCGCCCGACGGAGCGGAGGCGCGGCCGTGGGCCTCCCGCGGCCCCGGCATCGGCGGCGCCGAGCACGCCTCGGGGCCTCCCGTGGGCGGGGGGCCGCGGGAGTCGAAGGCGACGCAGCGGCATAACCGTAAACTGTCGGCGCTCCGCGCAGAGTTCTTGGATCTGCGTTGGGCCCCTTGGGCGGCGCCTCCGGCGCCGCCCCTGGCGCGCGGAGCGCTCCAGGGAGGGGGTCCAGCGCGGCTCCAAGGGATTCGCGCAGGCCAGGGGAAGTTTCTGTGTATGCCGTTTTTGTTGTTCCTCCAGGAATGCCGGCGGCGAGCGAGGAGGGGAAGTGGGAAGGAGAAGGCCTTCTCAGAAGGCGGCGGGGCTCCTCAGAAGCCCTCTGGGCTTCTGAGAAGTGTCTGCGTCTTGGAAGGAGGCTTAGAACTGTTTCTAAGGCCCGGGGGGTCGCGCATGTTAGGACGGCCTTCTCCTTCTCACTTCCCCCCCGGGGCTCGCCGCCAGTAGATGTTCGGGGACGCAGAGCGGTATGACATCAACTTCTCCGCCGTTGGGGACTCCTGTCCCAGGGCGGCTGGGAAGTTACACCCCTACGGTGGCACGCAAGGCATAAATTTTGCAGCCGCCCTTTACCAGTTTGAAACATATCCCTACCCCTATGTTTGACATCACCTCACCTCGATGCCGATCTTAAGGATTCCCTCAGTTTCTGAGGGCCTATCCCTAAGATTGTCCTCGCTTTTGCTCGCCCATCTTAGGGATAGGGATACGTTCGAGGCTGGTTAGCCTTGGGGCAGGCGTCACGGAGGCGGATCATATCATTTGATGCCGGTTTTCTTTGGCAAAAAAGGGTCGGAGCAGCTGGGTTCGGAAAGTCGCTCTACATCGCCGACCCCTTCGCCGATGGATCGGCGATGCGGCTCGATGTGGATCCCGATGTTCTCCACGCCGACGTCGCCGATGCGTCGAAGACGTCGGTGGCCGATGCATCGGCGTTGCGATGCAATCCGCCGACCCCGCCTACTCGGGCCCCATCGCTGCACCTGGGCGCAAGACAAAGGCCGACAGCTCGAGCTCGAGGACGGGGGGGGGAAGAGGTGGAGGAGGTGGAGGAGGAGGAGGAGGAGGAGGAGGAGGAGTAGGAGGAGGAGGAGGAGGAGGAGGAGGAGGAGGGGGAGGAGGAGGAGGAGGAGGAGGAGGAGGAGGAGGAGGAGAAGGAGGAGGAGGAGGAGGAGGGGGAGGAGGAACAGGAGGAGGAGGAGGAGGAGGAGGAGGAGGAGGAGGAGGAGGAGGAGGAGGCCTCTCATGTCTGGGCTCTTCGAGCGGCGGCGACGTCGCCGGCGTGCCCTTCGCGCCCGCCCCCCCCCGCCCCCGAGAGGAGGCCGCGGCGTCGGAGCACTTCCGGTCCTTCGCGGCCAACGACTTCAGCATCGCGGCCAACGGAGCGTGGGTGGGCTCCGCCGCCGAGGCCCCCGGGCTAGGGTCGGAGGCCTGGAAATTGGCACCAACACCAGCACGGGGGGGCTGCCTCCACAGGGGGAAGCTGATCGTAGATTTCGGTGTTGGTGTCAATATGTCGGTCACCCTGGAAGCCAGAATATTTCCACCATCACCGAGATCGGGATCGTCTTCCCTCGGTGGATGCACACCGCCGATATTGGTGTTGGTGTCAACCTCTGGGCCTGCGATAGGGGAACAACAAGTGGCACAAACATAAAAACTCGGAGGTCCGCGCGGATTTCTCGGATCGGCGCTGGACCCCCCTCCCTGGCGCGCGGAGCGCGCCAGGGGCGGCGCCGGAGGCGCCGCCGGGGGGCCCCAGCGCTGATCCGAGGAATCCGCGCAGACCTCCGAGTCTTTATGTTTCTGCCACTTTTCGTTCCCCTCGGGGCTCGTGCGCCCTTTTGTGTTTGGCCGCGGGCCAGGAGACAGGCGCCAGCTCCCAGTGCGCACGTGGCAGCGTGCGGGGCCCGAGCGAGGCGCCCGAAGAGACGGCAGCGGGGGCCAACGGAGACCGACCACGGCCGAGGGACCGACCGGGGAGGAGGCGAGGCCCGAAGCCAGCGAGGGGACCACGCAGCCAAGCGGCAGGCAGGCGTGCCAGCGAGGCGGCCCCTCCCCGGGCTGGGGGACGGGGAGGGGAGAAGGGGCACCAGTGCCCCCGCAGTGGCGGATAGGAGTGAGAGGGCGGGGGGGGGGCAGGATCGTCGGCCGTCTGCGAGGCCTGCGCCGATCTTCGGCGCACCACAGGGCGAGCCCGCCGCATGCGCGGATTCCTCGGCAGAGCAATGTAGGTGGGTCGCGGGTGGGTCGTCGCGAGCGGTTCACAGGTGGGTCGCGGGTATGTCAAATGCGGAGGAGTCGCGGGTGGGTCGCGGGCGTAGACGACGATATCAAGAAAGCAACGGCATAATTACAGCAACAACCATAACGACAGCCACTACAAGTGCAACAACAAACGTACTAATAACACCAATGACAACAATAACAACAACAACAACAACAACAACAACAACAACAACAACAACAACAACAACAACAACAACAACACCAACAACACCAACAAGACCAACCACACCAACACCAACCACAACAACACCAACCACAACAACAATAGCAGCAGCAACAACACATGTTTATATTGTTCGCTCGTACTTGCTCGAACGTCCGCCAACGTGTATGTCTCAAGCCCTCGATACCCGCCTTTTTCGTCTTCGATCGTGCCCTTTTTGGGGGGTGTAATTACCTTTTTTCCCTGCAGGCCTGGCCGTGGCAAGCGGCGGGGCGGCCGCGGACCGTCGCATCGGCCAGCGGCAGCGCTGGTCGGCGGCAGCCCGACCCCAAAAGGGACGGACAGGGGACCGATCACGATGACGGCGACGGCGACTGCGACGACGACGACGACGACGACGAGCGAAAACGAGAGCGAAAGCGAGATCGAGAGCGACAGCGGGGCCACTCGAGGCAGGAAGGGGGCCACGAACGGCGACAGCGGTGCCACGAAGGGCATGCGTATGGGGCCACGAAGGGCGCGAACGAGCGGGGCCACGAAGGGCGGATAATGCGGGGCCACATACGGCAACGACGGGGCCACTGAGGGTACCGACGGGGCCCCCCAGGGAAGCGAGGGGGCCGCAAAGGGCGACAGCGGGGCCACGAAGGGCATGCATATGGGGCCGCGAAGGGTGCGAACGAGCGTGGGCCACGAAGGGCCTACGCATTTTGGACCGCAGGGGACAAAGACGAGGCCACTGAGGGCAGCAACGGGGCCACGAAGGGCAGCAAGAGGGCCACGGAAGGCGATGGCGAAACCACGAAGTGCATGCGTACGGGGCCACGACGGGCGCGAACAAGCGGGGGCCACGAAGGGCAGACATACATGGGGCCACGAATGGCAACGACAGGGCCACGAAGGGCTGCAACGGGACCACGAAGGGTAAACTGCGGGGAACTCCAACGCAAGAGCCAAATTCTTTCGTACATTGCAAACAAGTTTCCAGAGCGCCGAGAGAGCGACCCCTTAAGAAGGTGTAAAGACGTCCCAGGCGAGAGCGCGACTCCTGAGTACAATGCGAGGAAGTCTCAGGCAGGAGCGGGGTGCCTGGCTAAATCGTAAAGAAGTTTTAGGCGGGAACCGATGTTGTTGTTATTGTTGCTGTAATCCGAGGGCAAACGATACAGGCTGAGGTCCGTGATTTTCCCTGGTAAGCAATAGGGTGCGAACCCCGGAGGAAGCAATCCAATTGACAAATACAATCGTCTCCGGACAGGGGGGATCAGCAATATTTGTTCCTGCTGTGAGAGCTCAACACCAACAGCATCAATAACACAGCAGCGTTACTTACAACAACAACAACAATCAGTTTAATCTGGATCGGTCATACCTGCTCGCGCGTCACAAGACGTATATCCCAAACCCTAGAGGGGGGGCCTCGTCGCACGAGCGCAAGCTGGCGCTGACGCGCGCTCGGGGGGCCACCGCACGTCGGCGCACGGTCTCGACGCCTGGCGCCTAGACGCGCCCAGAGGAGAAATCATATCGCACCCCGCTGTTGCGGATAAGAGTGATGGAACGAACGCGGGGTGGGTCGCGGGCGGGTCTCGGGTTGGTCGCGGGGTGGGTCGCGGGCGGGTCGCGGGTGAGTTGCGGGGCGGGTCGCGGGCCAGTCGCGGGCGAGTTGCCGGTGGGTCGTGGGCCTGGCCGCCAGTGGGACGACAGCAAAACAACAATAACCACCACCAACAACAAGAACAACAATCATTCCAAGACTGTTCGCTCCTACTGGACGGCGCGTAATTGGAGAAGCTTCTAAACAGGGAAACGAAAAAGAAACAAAACGAGAGGACGAAGGGATCGACGGAAGCAAGAGATTAAGAGGGGCAAGAGGGAGGGACGAAAATGATTTGTGCCACGAGTTGCGATTCAGTTTGTGAGTGACTAAAGCGCAAAGAAATCTTGAGCGGGAGTGCCGTTCTTGAGTAAATTGTGAAGGAGCTTCAGACGGGAGGGGGGTCCTGGACAAATTGCGAGGAAGTCCCAGGCGGGAGCGCCGATCCTGAGTAAGTTGGGGGGAAGTCTCAGACAGGAGCGGGGGTCCTGAGTAAACTTGGAGGACGTCTCAGGCGGGAGCCGTTGTTGTTATAGTCTGGGGGAGCAACCACGTTGTTTGACCCAGACTAAATTGTGAGGAAGTCTCAAGCGGGAGCGCCGTTCCCGAGTAAATTGGGAGGAAGTCTCAGACGGGAACGGGGGGGGTCTTGAGTACATTCGGAGGAAGTCTCAGGCGGGAGTCATTGTTGCTGTTGTAGTCTGGGGGCCAGGGGCACAGTTTGACCAGGAAGATTTTCCGTATGAAAAACAGGGTGCGAGCGTCGAGGGGCACACTTTGATTGAGAAAAATGATATACACCGGTGAGAAGGGGATCAACAATACTTATTCTTCAGAAGTGAGAGTTCAACAACAACAACAACAGCACGAATCACAACGACAACATCAACAACTATACCACCGCCAAAAACAACACAACAACATCAACATTACCAACAACAAACACCAAACCATACACGACAAGAACAATCATGTTAGTATTGATCGATGTTACTTGCTCGTGCGTCATTCGGCACGTTTGTCCCAAACCTTCGATACCCGCCTCCTCCGTCGTTGATAACACCCCCGTGGGTTGTAGTTTCAGTATTTGACGCGCGTAAATGGCGTAGCCTCTGAAACAGGGGAATAGTGGACGAAAGGGGGAGGGAGAAGGTTGGAACACGGGATTGGCAGGAGGGGGGCTAGGAGCAGAAAACACGTGGCATAATCAGACGGGCTGCTCGGGCGGGGCAACCCTCACGGGCGGGTCGGGGAGGCGGGCCCAGACGGCCAGGGTGAGCGGGCGGGTTCCTGAAGCGTGAGTGCTGCATGAATCGGGAGGAGGTCTCGAGCTATAGCGTGGTTCCGAAGTGAACCGCGCGAAAAAAAACAACGCGTGTGCACGATCCGTGAGCGTCGAGGGCTAGGCGTCTGTTTAAATTGCGAGGAGATCCCACACGAGAGCGCGATGACAGCATACAGTGTGAGGAAATCCCGCGCGAGAGTTCGATTTGTCAATACATCGTGAGGAACTATCAGGCATGATTGTTAATTGGGCTTTCACGTCTAAAAACAATGTGGCTGGTTCCCCCCAAGTGACCATGGCTCCTCCCGGGGCTCGCACCATGTGTTTTAGACGGGAGTGGTTTTGGTCACCAAATTGGGCCCCCTTCCCCCTTTTAGGAACAGCGAGAACTCCCGTCCGATATGTCCTCAATGTTGTTTTCCACATGTTTGGGTCGGGTTTGGGTTTTCTATTTCTCCCACAACCCACACGCGTCTCCCTCGCTCACCTCCTCCCTCCTCCTCGCCTTACCCACGTGCACCACATTCGCGGCGCGTACATAAGCGCGGCCGCTACCCGTGACGGTCGTCCAGGACATAGCAAGCGTTGCATACCTTCGACAGCATGGGGGTGCACAGGGGACGGTTTCTGTGCGCGGCCGCAATCCGCGACGTCCGTCCAGGGCATAGCAGGCGTGGCATAGTTTCGACACCATAAGGGGGTGCTCAGCGGGTGGTCTGTGAGGGCGGCCGCTATGCGTGCCATGGTCGGACAGCGTGGCCGGTGTGGCTCTGCCTCGACACCCGAGAGGGTGCGCAGGGTGTGGTCTCTCGCCGCGGTCTCTATACAACCCGGCTGCCCAGGCACAGCAGGAGTGTGGTTTTTTCCCGTCGACACCATACGGAGTGCGCAGAAGGGGGGTCCCTCACCGCGGTCTCTATACGCCCCACTTGTCTAGGCGTAGCGGGCATGGCATTTTCTCGACACCATGTGGGGTGCGGGTGGTCTTTCGCCGCGGTCTCTATACGCCCCAATCGCTCAAGCATAGCAGACGTAGCACTTTCTCGACATCGTAACGGGGGCTCAGGGAGTAGTCTCTCACCGCGGTCTGTGTACGCCCCAGCCGTTCAGGCACAGCAGGCGTGGCTCTTCCTCGACACCATCGGGGGTGCGCACGAGGTGGTCCCTCAGTCCCTCACCGCGGTCTCTATTCGCCCCCGCCGTCCAGGCACAGCAGGCGTGGCATTTTCTCGACGCCATGAAGGGGTGGGCAGGGGATGATCCAGCACCGCCGTCCCTGTACGCTCCACTCGTCCAGGCACAGCAGGCGGTGCACTTTCTCGACACCATAGGGGGTGCGCAGGGGGTGGTCTCTCACCGCGGTCTCTATTCGCTCCAGTCGTCCAGGCAGAACAAGCGTGGCACATTCTCGACGCCATAGGGGGTGCGCTGGGGGTGTTCCCTCACCGCGGTCTATATACGCCCCAGTCGTCCAGACACGTGGCATTTGTTGACCCCATAGGGGGTGCGCAGAGCGTGGTCTCTCACCGCGGAGTCTATACGCCGCAGTCGTCCAGGCACAACAAGGGTGGCATTTTCTCGACACCATAGGGGGTGCGCAGGGGGTAGTCCCTCACCGCGGCCTCTATACGCCCAAGCCAGCCAGAAACAGCAGGCGTTGCTTTTTCTCGACACCATTGGGGTGCTCAAGGAGTGGCTTCTCACCGCGGTCTCTATTCGCCCCAGTCGTCCAGGCACAGCAGGCGTGGCCTTTTTCTCGACATCACAGGGGATTCGCAGGGGGTGGTCCCTCATCCATGCAGGAGGCGTTGCTTTTTCTGGGCACCATAAGGGGGTGCGCAGGGGGTGGTCCCTCACCGCGGCGTGCGCCATCCGCCTGCCCACCGCGTCGAGACTCGTGCGCCGTCTGCCTGCTTACCTACAGCCCCGCTCTCTTCCGTAGTCGCCATGGCTCAGGCTGTTGTTCGTGCGGCGCGTCATTCTCCCAAGGCTTGAGAGGCGTCACCAACGGTATCGGCGGGGCAACGGCCACCGTCATCATTCTCTCATCTTTCAATTCAGCTATCCTCATGTCAGACATAATATAAGTATGTGGGGTTCTTCGGTAGTGTAATTTGAAAATCGCACTCTCGCCCGGGACTACCTCACAATGTATGTTGGAATCGCGCTCTCGCGCTGCATTCCCTCTGAGTTTATTTCGGCGCCGTGCCCCCAAGACTCACGCATCACGCTTTGGATGTCTTTACGATTTACTTGGGAATCGAGCTATCGTTCGAAACTTTCTTCACAATGGGTTGACGCTTTCGCGACCCGCCCGCTCGACCTGGCCATCTGGGCCCGCCCGCCCGACCGCCCGCCCGACACGCCTGTTTGGTTCTGCATATTGCGCTCCTGCTCCGAACCCTCCTGCACATTTTCTCTTGCTTTCCATCCTTCTCCCTCCTGTTTGTGTCTTCGCTCCTCCCCGTTTGTCCTCTGTTCTGCGCGCTGGGCCAATTACGCGCGGCAAGACATACCACCAAGGGGGTTTGTTCAAAAACAAAGAAGGCGGGTAGCGAGGTATTGCTTGCTGGTGACATTCGTTGGAGACAAAGCTGCCCACTGGTGACACTCGTTGCAGATAAAGCTACCCACAGCCCACAGTCACACCCCGCGGCTTGAAGCTGATATTCGTCGCAAGCTGAATCGACAAAATGCATATGTTTCTTCAGTTTCTCTCAATATTTTCAGTTTACTGTACTTTTGTTTCTTTGCCCCTTCTTCACCTTCCTTTCATCCCCCGCCACTGCCCAGGGACTCCAACGTATAAGAAAATGCTCGAAGTCCATAACGGATGTCGAAACTCTTGTTCTGGCGATTTTGAAGCCGAGCCGTGTGGTCGCCCTCCCCCAGACCATAGACACATCCCCCAAAGTGCTGAAGACCGTCCCAAAGCCCTTCTCCGGTGCTTTTCCTGTCTGCCTCCCAGCCCCTACTCCCGATCCTTCCCTCCCTCGCGCCGCAGGCAAACCTGCGGAGAGGAAGCCTCCGAGAGCGCCCGGGGCCCTCCGGGAGCCTCCGCGGCCCCCCGCAAGTCACGTTGCACGAGGTGCGCGGGAAAGCCCTCGGAAGCACAGGCCGCCCGCAGGGGCGCGATGCCTGGGCCTTGGCATCGTTCGGACGTGTGCATTTTTCCTTCGGCGAGGACCATCGAGGAGCATCCTTGATCATTTGGCGAAAAACACGCACGAAACCGAACAAAAACACATGGAATGGACGTCCGAGCGATGGCGAGGGGCGCGGGGAGGTGCGCGCACCGCTCGGGGAGGCGATGTGCCAGGGCGCGCGGAGGCAGCGCCGCGCCTCGCGCCGCGGGCGGCGGGGAGCGCGACCCGTGAGCTCGGACCTGTGGGCTCGGCCTTGGTGGGCCCTGCAAACGACAGGGCCGCTTTTTATCGGTTCCGTTTTGCCGTTTTTGTTACCGGTTCCGTTCCGACGTTTTGCCGTTTTGCCGTTTACCGGTTACCGTTTTGCTGTTTTTTTGCCGGTTCCGACGCCGTGTTTGTTACCGGTTCCGTCGCCGTTGTTTGACCCGATTCCGGCTCCGGTTCCACTCCTGGAGCCGTTTTCGTTGCCGTTTCCGGTCGCCGTTTTTTTGCCGTTTTCATTTTAAAGGGACATTTTTTCGCAAACTGTGAAAAAACGGCCTTGCCGTTTCTGGGGCCCACTAAGGGTTCGGCAAGGACCATCAAGTTGTATTTTTGTTCACCCTGCGAAGCAATAGCTACACGCACGAAACCGGCAAATGCACAGGGCGTGGACGTCCGAGCGATGGCGAGTCCCACCCCAGAGTCCTGCCCAGTGGTGCATGATGCTGATAGTTCGTGCTCTCCCTTCCTCTCTCCTCTCCATCTGCTCGTACATGTTCTGCTTTACGATTGTGGGGCTCCCTGGTCATCGTCTTACCGGCTGTAGGAATTGCAGTAGCGTGCGGCGCGTTTTCTCGCCCACGCGACGATGAGCGTGTTGCTCCTCGACTTGGCCTGAGTCCCCAAAGGTCTCCAGAGGACTGGAGGTCCCCAGAAACAAAATTCACGCAGGAGCTCGAATCCTCGAACTCTGGCCCTCCTCATCGACCTTCCCCAAAGATCTCATCCCGCACGCGCCGGTCGTCGAGAGGAGGTATTTGTGGACTCGCATATCCCTATGTGATTAGTTATGGCGCCTTCTTACTTCAAGAAACGCCATGCTTTTGCTGCTATTCTCTCGCAGGGCCTGGACCCAACCTACTTAATCCGCCGTTGTACTTCATGTGCTCAATTGCTTCTTTCGACCGATGCCTACCGCTCCCTCGCCAGGGGTACCACATGCACGACGCGCCCTTCTCGGAGGCCCTGGTGGAGCTGCTGCGCGACCGTGGCTGCCAGACCGTCGCGGGGGGCGGGGGGGGGTGCGGGGGTCGTGAGGGTGCATCTGGCCGCCGAGGCGCACAGATCGACGACGACGACGGCGACGATTAAGATGTGGACGGTTCGGATTGAGTCGAGCATGTCCTTCTACGAGAGGATTATTCAAAAATAGTCAAACATAGTCTGAGGACGATTGTTCAACAATTCCCTTTCCTTGTATAATGTGTTTAGGCGATTTGTCATTGTTACTCCAAAGTCCGCCTGTAGAAAGACATGCCCGACCTATGGTCAGGACGACTAGGAAAGAGAACGAGTTTGGTGTCGTTAGAAATCACGGGGGCTGTCTTCATCCGTGTCGTGCTCTTGAACCCTTGCGGCTCGATCTGGTTCTGACATGTGCACAGGTTGGTGCCGAGCGTTCCATCGACCGGACATATCTCACCTTGACGTGCGTCTTGTTGCCCTGGTACGCCTGTGTTGAAGCGCAACACTTACCGTGTTCAAAACGGCCATGTTCACACGCTGCGTGTTGGTTCGACACGTGTTTGTCCACGTGTTGGCAAGCGTATCTCCCCAGACCTACGTGCTTAATCTACGTGCTGAGCTCCGGGCCAATACGCTACGTGTTGCGTGTTGTGTGTCGGGGCAGCTAAGGTTGTGCAGTAGGGACCGGCGTAGTTGTACGGTTTGTTTTTGGCCGATGGCATGCGGTGGTCGCGGTTTTGTTGTCTGGGGGTTTCAATGGCTGCGTCCCTCTCCTCGGCTTCACCGCGCGGCGCCATCGCCAGCGCCGCGGAAAACAAATCATCCTGGCGACGGGCAAAACCATATGCAGTCGTTGGTAACTTGTTGTGGGCACCGCTTTCGGCAGGGCTCCGTATTGGGCCACGAAACGTGTGACGGGTGTGCCGAAATGGAGGCGGCGGTGCCATGCAAACCCTGCCACTGGGGCCTTCGGCGGAGCTCCCCTGTGGCGGCGAAGCGTGTGAGGGGTGTACCGAAATGGAGGCGGCGGTGCCATGCGAACCCTGCCACTGCGGGCTTCGGCGGAGTTCCTTGTTGGGCAGCGAACCGTGTCAGGGATGTGCCGAAATGGAGGTGGCGGTGCCATGCGAACCGTGCCACTAGGGCCTTCGGCGGAGCTCCCTATGGGGCCACGAAGCGTGTGAGGTGTGTTCCAAAATGGAGGCGGCGGTGCCATGCAAACCCTGCCACTGGGGCCTTCGGCGGAGCTCCCTACGGGGCCGCGAAACGTGTGAGGGGTGTGCCGAAATGGAGGCGGCAGTGCCATGCGAATCCTGCCACTGCGGCCTTCGGCGGAGTTCCCTGTGGGGCCACGAAGCGTGTGAGGGGTGCCGAAAAGGAGGCGGCGCTGCCATGCGAACCGTGCCACTAGGGCCTTCGGCGGAGCTCCCTATGGGGCCACGAAGCGTGTGAGATGTGTGCCGAAATGGAGGTGGCGGTGCCATGAAAACCCTGCCACTGGGGCCTTCGGCGGAGCTCCCTACGGGGCCGCGAAGCGTGTGAGGGGTGTGCCGAAATGGAGGCGGCAGTGCCATGCGAACCCTGCCACTGCGGCTTTCGGCGGAGTTCCCTGTGTGGCCACGAAGCGTGTGAGGGGTGCCGAAATGGAGGCGGCGGTGCCATGCGGGCCCTGCCACTTGGGCCTTCAGCGGAGCTCTTTTTGGAACCACGAAGCGGTGCCATGCGAACCCTCCCACTGGGGTCTTCTGCTGAGCTCCCGATGGGGACACGAAGCGTGTGATGGGTGTGCTGAAATGGAGGCGGCGGTGCCATGCGGGCCCTGCCACTGGGGCCTTCGGAGGAGCTCCATATGGGGCCGCGAAACGTGTGAGGGGTGTTCCGAAATGGAGGCGGCAGTGCCATGCGAACCCTGCCACTGCGGCCTTCGGCGGAGCTCCCTATGGGGCCGCGAAACGTGTGAGGTGTGTGCCGAAATGGAGGCGGCAGTGCCATGCGAACCCTGCCACTGCGGCCTTCGGCGGAGTTCCCTGTGGCGGCGAAGCGTGTGAGGGGTGCCGAAATGAAGGCGGTGCTGCCATGCGAACCCTGCCACTAGGGCCTTCGGCGGAGCTCCCTATGGGGCCATGAAGCGTGTGAGGGGTGTGCCGAAATGGAAGCGGCGGTGCCATGCGAACCCTGCCATTGGGGCCTTCGGCGGAGCTCCCTATGGGGCCACGAAGCGTTTGAGGTGTGTGCCGGAATGGAGGCGGCAGTGCCATGCGAACCCTGCCACTGGGGCCTTCGGCGGAGCTCCCTCTGGGGTCACGAAGCGTGTGAGGGGTGTGCCGAAAAAGTGGTGGGCATGCGGAGAGCAAAGGCAGGTAGGGGAGGAAGGAAGAGGGGGAGAAGGAGGAGAGGAGGAAGGAAGTATTTAAGGAACGCGGGACGCTGTCTCTTGAAAACGAGATCCCAACACGCCCCACAGGATGGTTGTACAAATCTGGCCAGTGGCAGCAGAAGACCCATGTGTGTAGTTGGTCCTATACTTTCGGCGGCGAGTCCAGGGGGGAAGTGAGAAGGGGCGGGCCTTCTCAGAAGGCTCAGAATTCCCCAAGCCGTCTGAGAAGGTCTCTGAGCCTGCATGATGGAAGGCCCAGGAAATCTGTCAGAAGGCGCGAGGGCTCCTCAGAGGTCCCGCCGCCTTCTGAGAGGGCCTTCTCACTTCTCACTTCCCCCATCGCTCGCCACCGATGTCTGTTTGCATCCCAGCTTGCGGTGACTCGGTGTACGTCGCTGCGCAGGTCGTGGACTTTGGCTGCGGACTTGGGCTCTACGTCCGAGATCTTCGAGCTGCAGGCCCGCTCGTCGGCCCTACGACCCATTGCGCAAGCGCCCTCCCCAGGAGGATGCGAAGGTCAGCGGGGACGGAATGCAGCGAGGAGCTGTCCAACCAGCAGTTGCTCCCACAAGAAGCTTCTTTTGAATTCAGGATTGTTGAGCTCTCCAGTGCGTGCCTGCTTCTTTTGGTCGGGGTATGCTGCTGGTTCCCAGATTCCTCCCTGCCGGTGGCAGGGGATGTGGCCCCGATGCTCGTCCAGGGAATGGCACCCGGAGGTCAGCCTACCCGGGAGCGACGAGGCCGAGGCGGTGGCAACGCTCGGGGTTGCGCACAGACAGCCTCTGGAGGTATTTCCTGGTGGCCCACAGCAGGGGAACCGCAGGTCCTCGGGGTAGCCAGGGAGGCCGCAGCACTCCCACTGGAAAGTGTTCTTCAAGGGTTCCGAGCTTCACATGTGATCACTATAGGCGCTCACCTTGGCCGCTCCAGAATTCTCGGCGCGGCTTGTTTGGCGTCCCAGCGTGTCCCGAGAAGCGTTTGGCTCCCGTTCCTTGTATGCCTGGCATGACGCTCGAGCGTTCTGGGGTGGCATCAGAGGCGGCGTTGGGTGTTGGATGTTGAGGCCGCCACCAGCTGGGGGATTGCTGATGGCCGCCGTCACTGCTTCTCTGGGGGATGTCGATGCGTAATCGGCTGCACACCGGGGGGGATGAGGAGGAACACGAATCGGAAGGGGAGAGGAATGTTGATGAGGAGGGGTAGGAGAGCCATAAGGGTGAGGAGGACCAATGCCAGGGGGAGGAGGAGGAGGAGGAGGAGGAGGAGGAGGAGGAAGAGGAGGAGGAGGAGGAGAAGAAGACTCCGCCGCAGGCGTCGGCATTCGGACCCCGTCGTGGGCTTCTCCTGAGGAGCGAAAACGCATACTCCTTAGCCATTTGGGCTCCAGCCATTCTGCCCCCATGCCTCTTGGGATCATGGCCCTTGTTTGGTTCAAGCCACCTGTGCTGAAGATGGATCTGCACACTCTGCCCCTCGCCAACGAGAAAGGAGCTCGTGCCCAGCATGCGGAACGTGTCGTACTGCCAGGGGCACATGACGATGAGGGACAGCGTGGCATCTTAAAAAGGGGGAACCAGAGCTCTGCTGATCGGTCAGCTGGGTGGGCCGCGCGCTGAGGCGGGTCGCGCTCATCGTAGCAAGACCTGCAGATGCCGGAGTCGCTGAGCTGACCCCTGGAGGGCCACAGGGCCCCTCTGCCTCGTGGCGGCCGTCGTTCGAGCCCTTGGACTGGCTAGGACCGCCTCCGCCGAGGAGCCAGGCACCTCGACACTGGCTGTGTCAGTTGCGGCCGCCACAACGTCCACCACCCCTCGCCTTGGACTTGAGCGCGGTCTACAACTTCTGCGCAACAAGTGACTGAAAGCTGCGAGCCTGCTCGATGACCAGGCCCATGGCGGGATCCTCTCGGAATGGTACCGTTCCGAACGCCGTGCCCACCTCTTCAGGACAAGCATCTGAGAAAGTTAGCGTCCACTTCCAGGTGCGATCCGCCGTCGGGGTAGCATAACGGGAGGAACACTCGCCAGCAGACGTTTTGCATTTGTTTGTTGGTGGACATTTCAAGTGCTGCATTGCTTTGGGACACTTCTTGCCACCACTGCTCTCGGCCAACATGAATTAAAATGAAAGAAATAAACGCGAACGCATCCTTTCTCACGTCCAGCGGCTACTTAGGAACGTTGCGGGCTGCGTGCATCTCGGCAGTGCTCTCTGGCTTCTGGGCCATGAATGTGTCGGCATTGGCGTTTGAATTGAGCAAGGAGAAGACCTGTTTGGCAGTAAGAGCTGGGCGGGCTGATGCATTAAAGGCCAAGTAGTCCCTGAGCAGAAACGTCTGCAGCTCGTCCGATGGTGTCGCTGTGCCGACCTGCTGCTTCGTGCGCTTGCGAACCTCACGTCCACCCGTCTTCTCTCCTCCTCCCTCTGGCCTATCCTGATCACTGCGAGCTAATGCCGCTTTCTCCCGAACAACCGCCATATACATGTCTCGAGAGTCCTGGCCATCTGGAAGTCCTTAGAATCAACCGAGATTTGGTGTGTCACCAACGCTCTGATCTGGACTTCGGCCGCACAGGCCGCCAGCCTACCACGCATCACGATCCTCAGCACGGTCAAGACGTCATCAGATGTTGTAAGGCTTCCGGTCCACAAATGGCTAACATTCGGGTGGTCGATTATGTGGTATTGAGTAGCAGTTTGAAGAGATCTTTCCGTGCTCTATAAGTACCTTCATGTCGGGACCGTCCGTGTGCATTAGCATATTTTTTGGGTGCCTCAATGTGCACATGGGTGGTTCCGAAGCTTTGTCCTGGTCATCATTCCCGTACGCTTCGGGATGTTCGCGGGCTGGGCCCTGGCTGGGAAACAGCCGATAGCGGACCGCGAGACCATGTCCTGGAACCAGTTTTGGAGCCCCGAGCCGGTAACCGAGTAGGTCCACGATTCCCGACATCTCTTGCATCCATTACGTCCTGTTCCAGCCACCCTCCCCTTATAGAGTAGCCAATCTCTCAACATCTGAAACATCGTGAGCAACGTTTGCACACTTAACAATGTGTCGCATCTCTGCTCGAATCTTACTGAGTCGGGTTCGCAGCTATCAAATATGTTAGTAGTTTCCGCCCCTCAGTCGTCCTCCAACCTCCTTTGGGAACTTCGATGTCTGACATGGCCGTGCTGAACTTTGCGAGCCGTGTTCGCCTCCTCGGTTTGATTGGTACACAGTATGCGTTTCTAGTGGTGGCGGTACTGATGGTCCTCCTGGGGCGGCTTGTCCAATTGGTCAAAAATGCGAAAATGACGAAGACGGAATATGGGATGGCGGACTTATTTGAGGCGCGGGTCCCGTCGTGGAGTGCGGGATTACCCCATCGGATCCGAGTTCATATTTATCTGGTTTGCCCTTGCCTCGAAGTCGACTGCGACTGGTGGGTGGGGCCTGATTACTTCGAAGATATCGGCGGCCGGACTGAGTTTTCCCTTGAGCCTGGGCAGGAGGAGGAAGAGATGGATGTGTTGTTCGTAATACGCAGTCATCTCCGTTCTGCTGGCTGACGGTGTAGACGTTCTCGCATTTATCGTTGAGCTTTGGCACGTGTCGTCTTCTTTCTTTCTCGAACTTCGGGGTCCTGCTTTGAGCAATACTGAGCATGTTTCTTGAAACCCTTCGAGGGCTACTGATCCCCTCAGTTTTGGCACAAGCAGCGTCCTGCTTCAAGCACTTTCACCTTCTGTCTGCTGCTGAGTATCAGCGCCCGACTCTTGTTTGGGCCGAGGTCTGTCTGATGCAAGGCGCGTTTGCCATTCGTCATTTCCGCGGCTTCCTTTGCGTGCGTCCTCATTGACTTATAAGCTGAGTCGATCGAAGACGGTCTCGAGCAATGCTAGCCCACTCATCATGCCACCGATCCTCTGGAGTCGGCGCGTGCTTCATCATAGCCCCTGCTCTCTGCACAAGCACTGCTCGTATGCGCAGACTTGATCTTCCAACAGTTGTGGTAGCAACACACGCCTCAGGATGCATCTACAAGTTCTACCGTTCAATTCGGAATCCTGTTGATCGCATTTGGTGTCCAAGAAATCGGCGTCGGCAAATCGGTACATGTATACATGTATGTATGTCGAAGGTGCCCATTCCCACTACCTTCCTGAGATCTTGTTTATTCTCCATGAATCAAGGATCGCCGCTGCTTCAATGAACCCATGGTGGATGCGCCAATAAGGCCCTGGTCCATGTTTGATCTCGGGTGTCGTTCACATTCTACTCCCGCATTCAAATACCAAAGCAAACCAAACCAATTGCTCTGAACAGCATACCCACGTGCTTGTAGTCCAAGTTGGGACCACATAGCTGTGTTGGTAGCAAGTTACGTATCATACTTGCTTTCTGGGGCCTCTTGCCAGCGTCCGTCGACGAGTTCTTGTCATCGCTGCCAAGGCAAGCCACCAAGAATCAGGAGCCTCTGTTTACTCGTCCGTCGGGGCCTGCACACAGTCGAGCATACGAGTCAGGATGTATTGTATTGTTCCGGGCTATGATTCAACCATTTGCTCCAACTTTTTCTCCAGGTCCTCCCGCTCCGACCTGCGTAATAGCAATTTGATGTCGGCCGCAACCATCATTCAGAAAGCCGGTGTATGGTGTTCTTTTCTAAGATATGATCGCGAATTTGCCGGGGCCAGCGATCAGGTACACCAATGTCGTATTCTGAGTTTGTCAACGATGACCAAGAAATGTCATCATGACCCTCATCTTCCGCCTGTGTCCGAAAGGCGTGCATGGCCCAAGCATCGGCACGAACGAAATGGGTACGGAAAGAATGGGTACAATGCGCAACAGCAGTTCCTGATCACTTTGAACAAGACTCGCTGTCCGCGCCGCCGCGGCCTGTGTTCGCTTGAGACACAGAAGGCCACCTGCCCAACAGCGGCCGCTGTTGGTTTGGGATAACATTTGTTGTTGGGCATTGTACCCATACTTTCCGTACCCATGTCGGGCGTCCAAAAAACATTAATTAGATTGAAAGCCATTGCCGCCGACGGGCATTTCTCTTTGAAACCTTGCCCGGGAGTGTATTCTTCTGATAGTCCATCACGTGTCTTGAGTTGGTATTGGGTGTCCTCCTACATCTTTTTCATCACGTTCTCCATTTTCAGATGCATCCCCAGCCGTCGTTGATCCGCGTACACCGCTTCTGGAATAATTCGGGCGTGTGTCCCATGATGTTTGCACACGTAACTGCCAGAGGGTCCAGGTTCAAGTTCCTGGAGCAGCCTTCCTAAACAGCTGCTTCCGACATAATCCATACTTTCAAGGCATGTCCTGTTACCGACCTTTTCTGACGAAAACCAGACTGTCAAGCAGTGACGAAGCGTCCTGGCGTGCCTATAGACCTACCAAACAATGTTCTGAGAACCTTTTGTGGTTTTCACGAAATATTCTTAGAACCTTTCTGGCTGGGACTGTCTTGTTTTAACACATCGGGAATACGTTCTAAGAACATTCTTTTTGTTTTTGGGAAACTTCTGGGTTCTAAGAACATGTCGTGGTAGGCCTATAGGAATGCTGGGACGGTCGGTCCCTGCCCAATACTGGGTGGATGGTGACATGTGGTGCATTTCTGCATGAACCAATAAGGTAATTGTAGGTCCGTCTGTGCTCCGCTACCTCTCCGCAGTAGAGCTCCCGTGGCAGCTCTAGTCGACGTCCCCTCCTCGGGGCAAGCAGTCCCCCACAAGTCTTGCACAGGTCCTTGCTGGCTGACTTGGTCATTGCTAGGTGCGGATTCTTGTAACTCCAGAATGGCGTACCGTACTGCAGCGCGACGTGGTACCAATCCAAGCGTCATGATGTTCGAAAATATTTTAGCCGTGACCACCAGAAAGAATTTCGGGCACCAGGACAATACCGAAATTGGAGGGTTTTCACGTGTCGGGCCCTGGGAGGCGAAACGTGTTCGACACAGTTTCGATATGTTTCTAGGTGCTTGAAATTTGTTCTGGGATGTGGTCCTTAAGTACGATGGGGGCAACATAATCTAAGCGATTAGTTTGTCCGAGTGGGAGGTCTGCCTCGTTGTAAAATCTCATCGTCCTCTCGAACTCGGGCTCCGCTGAACTTCTCAAGAAGATGTGCCCTGGGATCTGCTGATATCTAGTCTTGACCTTCTCGTGACCTGTTATGTAGATGCGTCCCGGTCCGACTCGAATATCGATACAAAGAGGCTCCGATTGTTTTTGTGCCGGCATGTTTCATACGATCTGCGATGACGGGCCTTAACCAGCGATGTCGTGCACAATGCATTTGATGGAATAGTCGACAATTTGTTTGATGGTGTTCATCACGTAGTCATTGTTCTCTTTGAGGTTGGCCGCATATTGCCAGGATTGCCAATTCGTCGCCCTCCGCTGTCGTAAAGCCAACATCTGTTCCATGTCCTCCCCAGAAGCGGGTTGCCCAATTGATTCGTAGGTTTGCCTCGGTCGAGGTGCTCTCACCTGCATTCACCATGAGTTCTTTCGTCCGTGCCCAAGAGTGAAGGAGGTCTTGGTACCGTCTCCTGACGCACGCCGCCCCCTCAAAGGTGCTCCATTAATGTCGAATTCGGTGAAATTGGAAGCGACATACCATGACCAGGAAATGTTAATGGTGGCTCATCTGGTGGCCCTTCTTCCTCATACTGCGCGTCGTAGTCCAATTGTTCGAACGGATCTGCGAATTCCTCTCATCCATGCGGTGCTGTTGTGTTGGGGATTGCGCTCCGACACCGATCCGACATGGCGACCCTGAACCAGGATGTCTTGGATGTTGCGCTCTGGGTTTTTAGATACGACTTGGCGACGCTGACAAGGCGACGGTGAACCAGAAGGACCCCATCTTCCTGGATTAGCGAAAAGAGACTCGCAACAAAAATAGTTGCCCCTCTGCTCCTGCATCTGCTAATTCGTCCACTCGATCTTTGCCAACATCACCTGAGTGACTCGTATCATGGACCATCGCGAAGTTCTTCTGATGGCGAAGTCGTCTGTGGAAAGCCCGGCATGTCTTGGTGAGCTCGAGGTTGTTTCGTGGTGTTCAGTTCCCTCTAGTATCATGTTCATGGCGTATTTTGAATGTAACTGCTAGGTGGCCATGTCCGTCGAGTTCGTGTTTTATAGTACCTACCACATGGCCATCATCATGCTGATAGCTCGCCCTTGTTATTCGTGAAGGGCTCTGCTTCCATGAAACGGGACTGAAGCATTGGGTCACTCATCGTCTTCACTGGCCGATGATAATCGTTCCATTTTAGCCGAGTAGCGTCGAAGATCGACATCCCCCAACTTGCGCTGTGAGCTGCACCCGATCCGTTTGTAGAAATAAGATAGCTGTAAGTAGACAGACCAGGTGGTGCACGAAACGGCTTCGGTGAATGGGGGACGCCAGTCTTGGTCAATTTCGAGAGTCCATTGAATTCCGTTTCGATGTTCTGCTCGAAGGCGTATTGCCGTAACCGAAGGGCCTCGAAAACGATGTTTTTCGAGTGGCGTGTCGCAAGCTTTGAAGGTGGAATTGATTTCTCACGAGGCGCGTCGGTCTGGTGCCACACTCCTGGAGTACGGTGAACACCTCTTAGCGCGTTGCAAAGTACATCGTATCTGTGTTGGACGTGTTTGCTCCGTGCCACGGATGTACTTGCACCCGTCAACGTCGCCTTTGGCGGTCTCTTCTTAGTTTTTCGTTTTCTTGAATACGGACCCATGCAACCAGGCCCTGATGTTCCCATCTCACCTCATCAAACGTTGGTTGCATCCGCGTTACCCCAGTATTCGTCCACTCGCTTGAAGAGGCATGACTGCATACTTGCGTTGATTGCATGGTGTATCGTTCAATTCCGAGCCATTGCCGGAGAGTCCAGCCAGCCACGCCAAGCAGAAACCATCCATGTGTATCGGAATCCGGAGCAAGTAAGTGGGTGTTTTCGATGGTTTGTTTCCGATTCGTTCGTCCATTTTTGGGTTTAGCGGGACCAGGGATGAAGATAACAGGGCAACGCATTGAGGGAGGAGGAGAAATCATAGTGAGAGGGATGCGGAGAGAGACCCTGATATTTGACGCTGCGACAAAATATGCAACATCGAGAAAAATCACGCCCGGAGCCCTTGACCCCATCTTCCTGCAGTATTTCTTGAGCTGGATCGATCTGTGATGGTCCCAGTGCCGACTAGGCGAAAATTCCACACGTGAAACACTTGCAACTCCCAGATCTTAGGGCAGGAGGAGGAAGAGGAAGATGACTTGGAGGAGTAGTCAGGGGCAACGTTTGGGGAGAATAGGCGCAGGGAAGGACGCATTCATCCCAAGTCGCCAATTCATCGCCGATAGGAGCCCGATAGCCCACCCAGCCCAGGAACGTGCGATTTCGAGATCGTGGCTGTCGCCTGTTGATCGGCGATGCATCGCCGACTCCATCTCCATGTGTTGCCCCCCTGGGTTGGTCCCTCCCTCTCGTGGCGCCTCAGGGATGCTGATGCCTGGCTGGGCCATACCGCTCCCCAGTCTTTCCGCAATGGCGTGGGAGCGGCGGGCTCTCGCGGAGGTGGGCGGCGCAGAACAGTGGTCTCGATTTTGGCGGCGCGCAGGGGGCGGCAGGGGGGCTTCGCAGAGGCACCCCTGGTTCTTAGAAGGTGCGGGCCCTTGTCTGTAGACGGAAGGCTGGCGCCTTCTGAGAAGCAGCCTCCCTCTAAGAAGCCGTCTCCCCTCCCCCTACCCGCTTGTGCGCGCCGCCAACCGACTGCGCGAAACTTTGCGCACGAGCTGCCCCGCGTGGAGACGTGCGTCAGCGTCCTCGCTTCCACGCGGTGAAGGCCCGCGTTCGGTTCGTCGCGCGGATGGTGTGCGTCGGCGGCGAGCGAGGGGGGGAAGTGAGAAAGAGAGGGTCTTCTCAGAAGGCGGCGGGACTTCTCAGAACCCCTCGCGCCTTCTGAGAAACTGGTTTGTGTCTTCGCGGAAGGCCTAGAACATGTTTCATCAGAAGGCCAGTGGACTTCCGAACTTTCTGAGGAGGTTTTCTCCTTCTCCCTTCCCCCCCTCGCTCGCCACCGAGTGCGGGCACGAGGACCAAGCATTCGATGGTCGAAGGTTGAGGTCCGAGGTTCGAGGATGGAGGCTTGGTGATCGAGGACGCGGGTCGAGGAGATCAAGTTTCCAGGGTCTAGGTTCGATAATCGAGGAGGAGGAGGAGGAGGAGAAGGCAGGATGTCAAGCCGGGCCGCACCTCTTTCCGCATTGGCGTGAGCGGGCGGTTCTCGAGCAGATGTCGCGTGGGCACACCTGCGCAGGCCTGCGGGCCGGGGGCTTCGACGGGAACCCGTCCACCGTCGAGCTCACGGAGGGCAGGTGCAACCAGCTCGACCTCAGCCGCGTGCAGGAGTTCGTCGTTGCTTGTCTGCTTGCCTGCTCGCTTGCTTGTAACCGTCGCTCTCTTCCTGCTCCGCGTCCTCGGGGGAGGAGAGGGTGCCGACACCGCTGGTTGCGGAACAAACGATTGGTTCTTTTACGATCGGTTCGCGGTTATTTTGCAAACGGCGGTTCCGCTAATTTTGCTTCGATGTTCCATGTGTGGGCCTCTTGGAAGGCCCTCGTCGCCACGATCGGGCTCGTCACTGATGCTCCGCGCAGCAAGCACATACTCTGGATGGGTTGTTTATCAAGGGGGGGTGATTACCCTTCTGAGTGAGCCTGCACAATCACGCCCCCTCCATCCTCCTCCCCCTCATCCTCCTCCTCTTCCTCCAACCCCCCGTCCACCCGTTCCGAAAGCACGTGCCCAACCCCCCCAGCGGATCCACAAGGGGGCGACGATTGCCCCATCCAGAGTAGACCTCCTTGCACTATTTTGGCTGCCCTAGGTACTGTTTTGCTGGGTGAGATGGCGAGGGCCACGCTCTGCTATCATCAGGTCCACTCGTACCCATCGGTCGTTGAAAGTAGGTCTTTTTGGATTCCCAGATTCCAATCTACTTATAGCGCCTTCCTGCTTCAATGATCGAGTGGCTTCACCGATTCCGACCTCACAAGGGGGCGGACTTAACCCAATCTACAATCAACGCCTTCCTACTTCATGATTCTACTTAGTCGTTCCGACCGATGTGTTGTGCCACTCGTTCTCTTCATATCAATTCCTACTACCACCAGCTCTACAACCACTACACTACTTCCAACGCACCTCTACCAATCCACTTGTTACGTTTTCGAGCTGGCACGATTAGTACTTTTCCTTAGTCTGTTACTTTTACTCTCTGTAATCACGCTATCACTGCCACTACTACGAGGTATTCCTATCACCACAAGTAGTCGTAGTTCCGTTAGGTACTACTAGTAGGAGTGCTACGGATACCGTTTTGCGGTTAGTTGTCATGCTTGAACTCTTGGTGTTGATCGGATTGATCTATTTGCTGCTGCTGATGCTACGGCTGCTACTACGCGCGGGGACGTCTTTGTCCAACCTTCAGGGGATAGGGCCGAGGGCGTGGTGCCCGAGGGGCAAGATGGCCCGAGGCCGTCTTGGTCCACCCAGCGGCGGCTGGGCCAGTGGAGTCATGCGCTACGGGGGCAGCCGATCAAGATAGGTCGAGGCTTCGGGCCGCAGGAGACCAGACCACTCGGTAACTATAACATGGGGCGGAGAGACCATTATGGCACTGTATCAGGCGGGCTGGGCGGGGCAGGACGGCCCAGTGCCGCAGGAGCATGATGATCCGATCGGGGTCTCGTCTACCCCGCCCGCAGCGCCTGGATGACGGATCAAGATGGGCGAGCATCTGGGCATGGTGGCCTCAGGCCGTCTTCGTCCGTTCCGCAGGCGCTGGGCCACCAGGTCGAAAGTGCATCGGGCCACAGCGGCACTGAAGCTTGAGTCTGCGGGCTGGGCCGTGGGATCACAAACGCGTAGGCCGCAGAATCTGGATGTTCCGAGGCCGGCCAGGTCCAGCGCGCACGGGCTTGGCCAGCGGATCAACGCGGTCGCGCGCCACGGGGCCAAGATGTCCCGAGGCTGTCTTCGTCCGGCCCGCGGGGGCCAGGCCCGCGCATCCATGCGACCAGGGCCCGCAAAGCAAGATCTCTCGACGCCGTCTGTGCGGGGTTCTGAGTGCAGGCCGAAGGATTCATGTGGCTCGGTGCCGAAAAGGCAACGCGGCGCGATGCCGTCTTGGCCCGGCCCGCAGGGGATGGGCCGACGGCGCAGGATTGTCGAGGCTAAGCGAGAAAGGTTGCCGCAACATTGTCTCCGCCAGCTTCCGACAATGAGCTTCCCGAGGACGCCCTCTGCTGGATCCCACCAGGTCCTGCTCCGCTTCGCAAGGTGGACCTCTTGCGGGCTCTGCGGTGCCCCGCCCATTTGCCGTTCCGAACCTGGTCGAGGGACCCCCTGACCCGTAGGTCGAACGTCCTCGGGCCCGCCGCTGAGCCACCCAGTCGCGGCCATGTTTTTGGCCCGCCCGCAAGCATTCCTGCCAGGCTTCCACATTATTCTGACCACTCGCGCCTGTCACCAATATGAGCGCACTGTGGAGAGATGTGCAAATCCCTTGAACATTTGCGCACAGAAGTAATCAGCGATCCTCGCCACCCAAACCAGCGCACACCTTGTGCGCAAGTTGTGCAGACTGAGTGCGTGATAACTGCCAACTTAGTGCACGAGTGGTGCTAAAGTACTGTGTAATGAGTGCGGGATGAGTGTGCGATCGGTTCGAAATAGTGCACGGTTCGTGTAACCTTGGTGCAGGTTGAGTGTTGGTGCGAAGAGTGACGCCTGATGGATTTTTTTTCCCCGATCATGGGGTAGCGGGTTGGACGTTCATGGCTGCCATGCTTGTGGCGAAGGTGTCCGAAGCAGCATCTGCGCTGATCATGTAGTCGAGGAGTTCTGCATTCTTGTGAACCTCAGAGATGCGTGCTGGGGTGCCCTGGAAACCTTTGTAGGAACCTGCGCCAATCCTCATGTCGTAGAAATGCGGGCCGCTGTGGCAGCATTCTCCGGCGAGTTTATCATTGGCGCGTCCCGCAAAGTATTTGGCAGGAGAGACCGCATAGTCGCAGGAAAGACCATCCAGCGCACTCCGCCGCGCAGGCCCCTCCCGCGAGCGTGGCCCAGGGCCCCCACGCCAGCGCGTCCACGAGGCGCCAGATCGGAAGAAGCGAAACTCGGGCCGGGCGAAAGGGGGGGATTGGGAAAGGGCCGTTTACGGAATTTGCTGCATGCAGCTGGTTTCGGCCTCACCGAGGGGCCCATTCCTCGATACATGGGCGCCTCCCGGCGCCGGGAGGCGCCGGGAAAATCAGCTACACGAGCTGATTCTCAAACCCCCCCTTTGCTATCCCCCCCTTTCGCCCGACCCGAGCATCCCTCTGCTCTCCCGAAGCTGCCCAGTTCGCGGTCAAGGAGCCCGTCGCCCCGCAGCTGCCATGGGCCGCCCGCGCCGCCCCCAAAAAGCACGGCAGGTGCGCCCACGGCGCGGTCCAAACGGGGCCGCTGGCCCGCGCTCGCGGGCCGGGAGATCTGAGAGAGAGCCACGGGCCCTCCGCGGCGTTGCGGGCCCCGGAAACGGCCGGGCCTTTTTTCCACCGTTTCCAAACAATTATCCTCAAACATAAAAACGGCAAAACAACGGCGACCGGAAACGGCAACAAAAACAGCTCCAGGATTGGAACGGAACCGGTCAAAAAACGGCGACGGAACCGGTAAACAAATGGCGTTGGAACCGGCAAAAAACGGCAAAACGGAACCGGTAACAAAAACGGCCTTGTCGTTTCCAGGGCCCACTAAGCTCCACGGTGGGGGCGTTCGTTAAGGAACGTGCCCAGAAGGGTTCCTGAGGAGGGCGGCGGTGGTATACGTGGCCGCTCCACGGTTGGCTTTCCTCTGGCTTCCAGAGCCTGGATTCCTTATCGAAGGTTTCCTTATCCAATGCCATCACCGTATCCGTAGCCATTTTGGCTCAAGCCGGTCTCAAGCCCCTGGTTGCCATCTGCCTCCGCTCATGGCCGGTCCGGGTGCAGCAGCTGCTTGAGGAGATGGTGACGGGAGGGGACCCCCGCAGGTCCCCACGCTCACGCGCGGAGCGCAGCGAGGCTGCGCGGCGGGCGCGCTCGGCGGCGGACGCCGCCGTGCGGCATGCCCGAGCGCGGGAGGAGGAGCTCGTGGAGCGGCTGGCCCTCGCCGAGAGGACGCTGGAGGCCTTCACGGGCGATGCTGAGCTGGCCGACAGGCTCGCCGCGGTGGTGCCTGCGCTGGGCGCGCTGGTCAACGGCGAGCAGCCCTCCTGGCTGGCGCGGCTCAGGAGGAACGTAGCGCTGCACGCCAAGGCGGGCGCCATCAAGGGGCGCATCGCAGGGGCGGCGGCGAACGAGCTCAGGAAGGCGCAGAAGCAGGAGCGCCTCGGGAAGCCCCCCTTCCTCAACCCCTCGGCGACGGAGGAGGTGCACGAGGACAAGGCGGGGGCCGCGCAGAAGCAGGGGCATGCGGCTCGGCAGGTGCAGAGGATGCTGCACGAGAGAGAGCTGCCCCAGGCAGCGCCCGAGGACGTCCTGGGCGCGAACTGGCTGGCGCCAGGCTGCTGGCAGCCAGGCGACCCCGAGCTGGAGGCGCGGGCCTTCGGAGAGGGATTCGCATGTGGCTGGCGGCTGGCGGCGCGGCGCGCGGAGGCCTCGGAGGGTCCCCCTGCGGCTGAGGCCACGCAGGTGGTGACCATCTGGACTTGCTGTCTGGAGGCGGGGACGCGGCCCGAGATGCACGGCATCGGGATCGAGCTGCGGCGCCTCCCCAAGGACAACCAGGCCCCGCCCGAGCCCACGGCGGCGAACGACCACTCGATAGAGTACGGCGTCCGCCTGGGCCCCACGCAGCGGCAGCAGGACATCGACGGCGATGGCGAAGTGCTGCCGCTTGCGGCCGAAGGCGGGAGCGGCGGGCCGCAGCTCGAGTGCCCCCAGGGCGCTGCGGCCGCCCGCGCCCGCGACCTCGCCGAGCTCTACGCCGCCTTCTTGGAGGAGATCGGGCGCTGAGCGGTGGCGGGGCCCTAGAATGCCTGCATGAAACCGCCGTGCTCGCGCGGCGCCTACAAAGATAAAACAAAATGCCATCACCGTATGCTGGGGGGATGGCAGGGCAAAGTCGATGCCGCTCAGAGGCCTGTTCGCGGCCCTGCGCACCATGTCCGTCGCCCCGCAGCCTGGCCGACACTGGCTCGAACCGCGCAGACCGCAAGTCCAACGCGAAACAACTGTCGACACAAAGCAGATTTCCCATGTCGTGGATGCTCCACGTCGTCGGCCTCGCTTCGTTGCGACCAGGAACACGTTGGCATCGGCGTCCGATTGGTCGGGGCGGCCATCCTCCCGCGCCGTTGCCGAACACACTCGTTCCGTCATGTGGCCACTTGCGTGCCGACAGAGAGTTTGAATGTGGTTGTCCCAGTGGGGGTCGAGCGGCCCTGGCTGCAGATTCTATACGTAGAAGATTTGTTGTTTTCCCTTCACCGCTTGGTCCTTCTGGGCGCAGTGAAGAAGCTTGACACGAAATGGTATCCATGAAATTCGCTTTGAAATTCTGGCCCGAACGTGCCCGGGGAGAGGTCCGGGAGTTGGTGGTATCAGTATTTCTGGGTTTTCCCAGGGGGTCGTTGTTGTTCGGATGTCGTGCTCCTTCTCCTCCTCCTCCTCCTCCTCCTCCTCCTCCTCCTCCTCCTCCTCTTCCTCCCCCTTTTCGAAGTGAACTTCGTGCGGATTTTTTTTGGCCAGGAATGAAGACTACAAGACACCCACATGACATGCACCTCGTTTTTCGCGCGCCGCTGCGGGGTTTTGTGCAGTGACAGAAAAATCCTCGCGAAAGTCCGCGCCCGCACGTCTGCCATAGGCCGGGGCAGGTAGAAGTCGCCCCGCGGCGGTCCTCAGCGGGGCCCCCCCGGAGGAGCCCGGGGCGGTCTCAGCACCCTGGCGCCGCTTCCGGTCCTGGCATCGCTCGGACGTGTGCATTTTGTTTCTTCGGCGAGGACCATCGAGGAGCATCCTTGATCATTGGGCGAAGAAGCCGCGCACGAAACCGGAAAAAGCACAGGAAATGGAGGTCCGAGCGATGGCCAGCGGTGGCGCCCCTGGGGCGGTCCGCGCCCCAGGGTGGGGTTGCTGAGACCGCCGTGGGCTCGTCGCGGGGGGGGGGGGCCTGCCGAGGCCAGCCGGGGCTGCTCGGGGGGCCCGGTCTCTCACAGGGGCCCGTTGAGATGATCTGGGGGGCTGCCCGCACGCAGCCCGAAGCCTCACCGCCCTCGCTGCTCCTCCTCGCCTGGATGCCGCCTGACCTGCCCGGGAGCAGACGTCGGAGCGTGCGTTGCACGGGCAGGCTTCGAGTTCAATGCAGTCAGCCCGCATGAGAAGGATGGGCGACCTTCCCAAGGGTTCCCCTTGCATCCTGGCCTCCTCGGCCCATGCCTGGCCACTTTTGTTGGCCGTGCCCCGGTCAAAAGGCTGCGAAGTGGGCGTCCAAGGCCACTGTATCCTTATCGCGCATCCTTACTATACGGGTTGACTCTACGCTGGCCTTGGAAGAGATTGCCGTTTTGGTACGTTCGGGATCAGATCACCACGGAAGTCACGGAGTTGCTTGTGTTGACCGATCTTTCCACTTCAGAAATCGAGGAAGCGAGAAACACTTGAAGACGTTAGGTGCCTGGCTTTTGGGTCTCCAGCGAGGGGGGGGTGGCGGCGCAGGCGGCTGATGAGGCGCAAGGGAGAGGACGGGCCCTAAGTAGCTACACGAAGACAGCAAGGCAGCACCTGGGGTGTCTGATCGCTGCGCATTAAACGCCAGGGACACAGTGGCGGAAAGTATATAGTTCGGGTGTTCCCTTCGCGCGTTTCGGACCTCGGACCTAGTGGCATGGGTGCCGTCAAGCGGCGTTGCCATCCCCCCATCCCAGTGGCTGACGGGGGGGGGGTCAAATTTGGAGATCTGTAGTAACGAATACGAAGCGCACAGGACCAGGGAGAACTCCCCACGGGTGCGAGGTAGCTCAGTAGGTAGCTCAGTCCCCCGACCGCTGTGAGGGTGGGGGGGGAGACGACAGAACGGCGAAGACGGAGGGCTGCGATTATGTCTACTGCTCGCACGCATGCTCCTTCTCTTTGCCCGAGGACCTGGGGAACTGCTGGGACTGGGTCGTGAATATGGGCCACAGCTATCCATCTGCACCGTTCCTGGCCGGTGCCCGCTCATGGGCTCAGGGCCGGTGCAGCCGCCATCCTGACCTGACCAGGGATGCGTCTCTACCAGCCTCGGGGCCAGGATCGTACGGACGAAGAGCGCCTCCGGCGCCACCAGCAGAGCCACCACGATGCTTCCGCGAGCTGGATGTCAGAGATGAATCGAGCATGGTGACGAAAAGCAGCGACACCGCCCCCCACCACGAGGACCCTGCCCATGCCCCTTGACGATGGTGGTGCTGGTATCGCCATTCCACGATTCTTCAGGGGCGACGCTAGGAGGGGGAGCTGGGCTCAGCGGGGGAACGCATTGACTCCCAATCGCGCTTTGATCTCCGTTCGGGGCCCGACAGCCTACTGCGCCTGGGAACGTGCAACCTCGCTATCGGGGGCCGATCGCTCCCCCTCGGTTCTACAGGATGAGCCCGGCCAGGATCGGTGCATGTGTGGATCGCTGGCGCCTTCCCAGAGGTCGTCTCCTTCGAGGTGGCGGAGCACATCCCGCGGGAGTCCGAGGCGGCGTTTGTCGGCAACCTCGTGCGCCACGCGCGCCGCGGTCCCTTCCGGGGGATGCGGGGTCGTGCGAGTTCCGTGCCGCCGCGCAGGCAGGCGATCATCGGGGGCGGAAAAGAGGGGGGTGATGACTAGGGTGTGGATATCATGGCGTGGGCCATGATATTTCCCCAGATTTCATGGCGCCTCTTCTTATTTCATTACGTTCCTGGCCCCCCCGCTGGGCCGCGCACATGCCGCCGGTCATGGTTTGCACCCCCCCCCTCTTGGACACCCCCCTTTTGGCCGCTCCCGAGATCAGGAGCAGGAGGAGGAGGGGAAGGGAGAGGAGGAGAGGGTGCGCACGGGGAAAGAGGGGCGGGTGGACGAGGGCGGGTGGCCGGTGGGCAGGGGGGAAGGTCGTGGCGGACGAGGGGGGGGTGGGGGGTATGGCACAGGGAGAGGCGAGCGAGGTTCTGGGCCTCCCTGATGGGGTCCACTTATCCTCCTCCTCGTCCTCCTCCCCCTCCTCCTCCTCCTCCTCCTTTTCTTTCTCCTCCCTCTCTTCCCCATCTGGGAGGCCCAGAGGAGGTTCTGTGCCTCCCAGATGGGGCGTCGAGGTCGGAGGACTGTGCCGCATCTCCGATGCATCGCCAATGCGGCTCGGTGTGTAGCCCGATTTTCTCTCCGTGCTGGCGTCGCCGACTCACCGCCGACGTCGCCGATGCATCTCCGATGCATCAGCGATACATCCGCGATGCGGCGTGATCCTTCGACCGCATCTCCCCGGCCCCCATGTAGGAGACCTCTGAAGGTTGAGGAGGGGCTTAGAGAGAGGGGATGGGGAGTTAGAGGACGTGGAGTGTATGGCAGTCTCCAGATCCTCGTTAGGAGTGCAATGCTCGTCACCATCACCATTCATCACCATCACACCCACTCATTCATTCATGACCTAATCGTTCATGTTCCATCACCATCACCATTAATTCCGAATCAAATCGGCTTCATCACCATCGCCATCGTTATCGTCGACATCGTCCACACACCGTCGTTTTGAGCATCATGATCGTGATCGTCATCATCGTTGTCGTCGCCCAGTTGAATTTTGCCAGCACTTCGCGTATGAGTGGTGGGGTCGTTTGCACTAACATTAGAGGTGGTCGCGCGCGGATGCGGTCAAATATAACACCACACATATTGCACTACACGCCTTACACATCGACAGTCCAGCAATTCACTATATTGGGGCCACGCTGCCGAACATGCACAACCGAGGAAAGCAATCTGTTGGCTAGTCTCACTTTAGTTGGTGCGCACTTCTGGAAATGACCGGATTTCTGGTACTCCAGTCATGCCCTGCAGGGGGGCATATTTACGCTTCATCGTGTTCTCTCGTGGAGAATTAGGTTCGTGCAACTCGGTTCAGGTCTTTTGCACGCCCGGAGCAGAAGGAGACGAGGAAGGACAAGCGATTGTACACACGAATCCCTTGCCATGTTGAATTTCAAACGGCACTCGCGTTATTCTTGGCACTTGTCCCTCTCAGAGGTCAGGAGAGAGAAACAATTCCTCAGATGGCTCAGGCCCCGACGCGACGTGGGAGAAGGAAACACGTGCAGCCACATTGGCTCAAGGCCGCGGGCTTGCCCCGTGTGCCTGCACAAAGAAACGTCAGACTTCTCCCGTGGCAGCAGAGCCCGATGTGGTAGTCGGGCCGCCACGGCTGCGCACCAGCTTCACCCCGGAGGGTTCCAAAGGGGGTTTTGGGGGAGGGGGTTCTCCAGGAGGGGTCCCCCAGGGTCTTCGCACCCTCTGTTTTGACCAGGTTCCGAGACCCCTGGGGGGCTCTCTGTAAAACCCCCTCCCAAAAAACCACCTTTGGAACCCTCCGGTCATCCAGAGGGGGATCCCAGGCGGCACGTGGAGGGCGGGAGAAAGAGTTGGAGGCGGACGAGGAGGACGGGTGAGAGGCGCACGAGGGGTTGGGCCACGAAGGCGGTCTACCCTCCAGATGCCCCCCCCCCCCTTGGGCACTTCGACCCAGGGCCCCCCTTCTTCCCTCCATTCCCCATCTTCCCCCCCCCTCCACGGCCGAGCACTGCCCCTCGCTCCTGCGCCGAGGCGTGCGCACTGGTAGCGCGAAGCTCTCCCTTGGCGAGGCGTGCAGCTCCCTCTTGCGGCGGGAGTGCGATGCCTTCTCGGCGAGGCTTCTGGCCTGAGCTGTGAGCGGGTTTTGGAGAGCATGTTTCGGGGTGCCCGCCCGCTCGTGTCATTCGTTGTGTGATGCAGGGCGTGCAAAGGTTACTTCCAGCAGCAAGACAACCTGTCATCCCCCCCTACGGGGTGGAGGCCGGCCTGCGACACCTGGGCTCCCGGCCCTGGCATCAGGAGCCGAGCACCTCGATCCCAGTGCAGGCCGCAGTGGGGGAGCCGAGCTCCCAGCTCCAGGCCTTCGCGCTGTGTTCACAACTTGAGCGACGGAAGAGAGAAAACGGAGACCTCTGCGTGGACAGTCGCGAGTGCAAGCGGCCCGCGTACGGTCGCGCCCAAGGGCTCTCTTTCTTCTCCACGCTGTGGGCCGCACGGGCGGCCCGCGTAAGCCAGGGCGTTCGGCCTCTGTGCCATCGCGCGTGAGACCTTTCTTTCCCGTTGCTCACATGGTCCCCCCAGAGGTCTAGACCCCATCCCCCGGACAGCTTCCCAGCCCGGGTCAATTTCCCTGACCTTCCAGTGGGCTAGAAGATAGCACCTGGACCTAGATACCCGAGCTCCAGCCGAGGTTTTAAGCAGTCCAGATAGGTCGATAGGTTTGGAGTACTACCAGCACTTTGGAAGGTCAGGCTTGAAGGGTCCCAGGATCCTGTGAGGGCCCCCCAGAGGCCGAACATTGGCAAAAGCTCCCGTCATGCCGTGATGGCGTTTCGCGAGAAGGCTCTCTGAGGGAAGTGCAGCAGCACCGCAGAAGAGCCCCACGGGGCGCACAGGGGAGGAGCCCGAGACCGCACGGGGCAGCCGTCTCGCCTGAGATTTCTTTACAATGCTTCCAGGAAGAATCGCGTTCTCGCCCCAAGGTTGGCTACATGTTTGATCCAGACGGCCACGATCCACTGAACATTTCACACTGAGCTGCACATGACCATGGTCTCACCCCTGTGCCCTACATCGGGCCCCCCAACTCCTCGAGCCGCCCCCTCATCTCTGCTGCCATCGAGGGCCCCCCAGAGGCCGGAAATTGGCAACACCTGCCCTCGTGTTTTCTGTTACGACTGGAGGAGGCGGGGTTGGATGGCCACCTGCCCTCTGGGCCCGGGTCACCCCTCGACGCAGCGCACATGGAGCAGCAGGCGCCCGCGCCCCCGGCGCCGTCGCGCGGCAGCGTCGGCAGCCTGGGCACCAACACCAGCGTCAGTGTCAGAGGCCAGAGGACCGGGCGGCGGCAAGCCCAGACCTCGTCGGCGCCCAGCACAGCAAGATGTGGTGGCGTACAGTCGGGGCCCTGAAGAAGGAACCCTTTTTGTTGGGGAGGGGCTCCGCGTTCCTTAGGTGTTTCGCAGCTTGCCTCAGGTTTTCCTTATGTCTTCGATCGGAAATCGAAGTTCAACTTATGGAAAAATGGGGCCTCGTTCCTTATTTGGGGTTCCTTAGGTCAGGCCGATGACTGCACCGAGGTGGGAAGTCTGGCAGCTTCGGGTTCGAGCTTCCAGGTGTTCGGGCGCTGTCTGTGGTCAGGGTCCTGGCGGACTGCCGGCCTCGGGAGGCGCTCCAGCGGCTGCGCCCTCGCCGAGAGGCGTCCGAGGGCGCCCGGATCGTCCCGAGCGGCCTCCGGGGAGCCGAGCTGCTCCGCGCGGCCGCCCGGGCGCGGAAACTCCCGGCTGGAGCAGGAGAGCGGCCGTAGCCCCTCGCATCCGATGCTGTGGCTGCCAGTGGCAGCGCCTGACAGGTCCGGGAGGGGTCCCCCTGCCGCTCCCCCTCCTACAGGGGGCCCAGGGACACACAGGCAAATAGACACCAATCCCAGGATACCCACAGGTTCCATAGTTATCTCGCCCCGCCCTTCCTCCTCCTCCTCCCCCCTCCTCCTCCTCCTCCTCCTCCTCCTCCTCCTCCTCCTCCTCCTCCTCCTCCTCCTCCTCCTCCTCCTCCTCCTCCTCCTCCTCCCCGTGCGGCGGCGCGCCGAGGGGGGGCAGCGAGAGGGGGCAGGCCTTCTCAAGAGGGCGGCGGGGCCTCCTCTGCTGCCCCCGGGCCTCCCGAGGAGCCCCCTTGCGGCTTCGGGGGAGGCTTCCAGGGGCTTCTCGGCCGTCGGGAGGCCTGCTGGGCCTCCCGAGAGAAGGCCCGCCCACTCCGCCTTCCCCCCATGGGCGCGCCGCCGACAAAAATGCGACTAGTGTGAAGTCGGGCGTGTCCCTCTACAGGAGGGATATTCAGAAATAGTCAAAACATAGTCTGGGGACGATTCTTTGATTATTTCATAAACTTGAGCACGCTTTGAGTATCTTTTATATTTTTCATCCTGAATCCGCCTGCAGGGGGACAAGCCCGACCTGAGACTAATGTGTTCTCGCTGTTGGGCCGCCTAGAGGTCCAACTCTCGGGGGTGGACAGACCTCCTACCCTGACACGTCGATTAGGGAATTGGCCGTTTTCGGTTCGCGAGAGGGCGTCGCGGCCGTCATTTTTGCGGGTCCAGGTCCGTCGGTTTCGGTCCCGGGCCGTTTTCACTAAGGGGAGGTCTACTAAAGGGAGGTTTGTCCACCGCCGAACCCCGGGGGCAACGTGAGGGGGGAACTGGCCCCAGGGGGGGGGGCGCATCGACCCCCGATCGCCCATTCGGTTCCCAGCATGGCCTAGGCCCCGATGCCGCCCAGGAGCGCGCGCTTCTTTGCCCTCGGGGGCACAGCGCCGCTGTGTCGGGGACGCATCGCCGAGTCCAGGGCGATGCTTCCCACCCGAGCGAGTCCCGCCATGTCGTTCCTGGTCAGCCCTTGGGCCGTGAACGAAGGCGCCCGCGACGGAGAGTTGCCCCCTAGGATGGGGTCGAGAGAAATTTCTTTGGGCCTACAGTGGAAACCCATGTCAAGAAACACCCTGCTTGCCTCCAGGGTGCCCTGGGTTTCTTGGTTTTCGATGGTTTTGCTGTGGAAGGCCTGACGCTCCCACACCAAAGTTCAATGGACGTCCTGGGGTCCCAGGGTTGGAGTTCTGGTGGAAGGTTTCTTGTGGTCGGGCTCCTACTGTACGCCGTGACAAATCATCACGACGGCGGCACGGATCTTGGCCAAGGAGTTCTCGGGCCAGGGATCGGTGCTCACGCCGTCGTCCTGACTGTGCCAGAGAGACGCTTACAGCAGCTACACAATAAAAAGCAGCCGTGCTATTAGAACACCAGGACACATTCATGGAGTCATGACAAGAACGGCATGGACATAAACTGTCGAAGGCCCGCGCGGATTTCTTGGATCGGCGTTGGGCCCCCCTGGTGTCCAAAACATCCACGTGGGCCTCCGACAGTTCTGGTTTGGGTCGCTTCTCCTCTTTTCGAATTCGTGGACGTCCACTCTTTTGAAAGAGCCCAAGGATTCCTTCGGGGCCTCCTGGGCTACTGGGGAGTAAGAGCCTGATGTGGAGCACACGTGGTCAGGGTGATTTCTTGTCCAGGTGCATGTGGCAAGTCTCGCCACCGTGCTAGCTTAGCGCTCTGGAGGGCGAAGGCTTGAGCACAAGATGGCCGTCACGTGTGGCGCCTCTCGTTGCCACTTCTTGACGAGCTCTCATGGACCTTACTATGGTCGCCTTGGGGCTGTCCTTGTGGTCTGTTGTGGGGCTGTCTAAGGGGTACCATGGGGCCGTCCATCTTGGGGCCTTTTTGAATCGTCTTGGTGCCCTCTTGGAGCCTACTTGGCTGTCTCGGAGCTCTCTTGCCAGTTTGGGGGGTCTCGAGGAGGGTGAGGAGACGTCTCGGGCCGTCTTGCGTCCGTATGAGGCCGTCTTGGGTTACTCCGGAGGCCCTCTTGGGCCAACCCTGGGCTCTCTTGGGGCCGTCCTGGGCTGTCTTGGGGCGCTCCTGGGGCCCTCAGTGGGGCCTCCTGGACCTTTGAAGACCGCACGTGGACCGACCTTGGAGCGAAGAGCGCGGCGACATCCCGTCGATGTGGCGCGAAGAGGGCCTCGTGGGTGTCTGGAGACCCCGTGGAGCCTAGTGGGCCCCAGAAACGGCAGGGCCGTTTTGTCCACCGTTTCCGAAAATGGAAACGGCAAAAAAACGGCGACCGGAAACGACAACAGAAACGGCTCCAGGAGTGGAAACGGAGCCGGAACCGGTCAAACAACGGCGACGGAACCGGTAAAAAAACGGCGTCGGAACCGGCAAACAAACGGCAAAACGGAATTGGTAACAAAAACGGCCCTGTCGTTTCCAGGGCCCACTAAGTTGTGGAGGCCATCTCATTCTGCGTGTCCTTCGAGCTGATGGGTCATGATGGCGGCCGTGGTGGCCGCCCTGGGCGGTCTTGAAGGCGCTGGGGAGGCCTCGAGAGCCCGAGGGGGCCGCCTGCCCGGCCCAGGAAAGCCTCGGGAGGAGGAGGAGGGGGGAAGGAGGAGGAGGAGGAGGAGGAGGAGGAAGGAGGAGGAGGAGGAGGATGAGGAGGAGGAGGAGGAGGAGGAGGAGGAGTCGGAGGCGGAAGCGGACGAGGAGGACAGGGCGGGATGAGAAGGAGAGGAGGGAGGAGGAGCGAGGGAGAGGCGAGGAGGAGGAGGGCGGGAGAGGAGGCGGAGGGATGAGGAGGATGAGGAAGGAGCGGAGGCGGAGGAGAGAGGAGAAGGAGGAGGAGGAGGAGGAGAGGAGGAGGAGGAGGCGGGGGGGAGCGGAGGAGGAGAGGAGGAGGAGGAGGAGGCGGAGGAGAGGAGGCGGAGGAGGAGGAGGAGGAGGAGGAGGAGGCGGGGGCGGAGGCGGAGGAGGAGGAGGAGGAGGAGGAGGAGGAGGAGGAGGAGGCGGAGGGGCGCGGTGCATGCAGAGCTGCGTGACTGGGAGGGAGCGCGAACCCTGCCAGGCAGTCCTTGGCATTCTTCCACGCCTCATCAGGGGTAGAGGGCACGGTGGCGGACTCTTGATGCGTCCACTACGGTCGGATTGAGGCATAAGATCGAGGTCGGTCCGGGGAGGGTATCCTTATGTTAGTCGTGCTTGTTGGTTGTTATTGTGCATCATGGGTGAGGGTACCCTAGAGCCTAGCTGCCTCGAGTCGCCCGTTTTGACACGCAACACGTACCGCGCTTCAAACGCCCGGGCCAATACGTTGCGTGTTGGCTCAGCTTAGTGGCCCACGTTTTAGCGAACGCATCGCGTCATACCTACGCTGCCAGTCTACGCGTCGAGGTCCGTATCAATGCGCTACGTGTTGCGTGTGGTGCATCGGGCAAGCATGGCCCTCGAGTGATCATCTTGTGGTTTGCGGTGCGTTGGCCGACAGAGGGTCCCATGTTCTTGAAGGATATTCTTCTGTCCTAGGTTTGACCATACTGCTGGCAACGATCCCAGCCGGGAGCAGGCCCGGGCCTGGCCCGGACCGCTGTTGTGCGTGTGCGTGTGTGTTGTGTGTTCTGTGTTCTGTGTTCTGTGTATTGTGTGTGTTGTGTGAGTTGTGTGTTGTGTGTTATGTGTGTTATGTGTGTTATGTGTGTCGTTGCGTATGTGCCTATGAGTGTGTCTGTGTGTCTGTGTGTTTAGTGCGTGCATGTGAGAGAGATTGTGTGTGTGTGTGTGTGTGTGTTTGTGTTCGGGCCCGCCGCGCACGCGGCCGCCCGTTCGGCGACTTTCTCCGCCTCGACGCTGCGCACGAGGCCGCGAGCGCCAAAACTCTGCGTCAGTGCGCGTATGTGTGTGTGTGTGTGCGTTCTTGCTTGTGTGTGCGTGTGCGTGTGCGTGTGCGCGTGCGCGTGCGCGTGCGTGTGCGTGTGCGTGCGTGTGCGCGTGTGCGTGCGTGCGTGCGTGCGTGTGTGTGTGTGTGTGTGTATGTGTGCGTGTATGTGCGTGCGTGCGTGCGTGCATTCGTGAGCGTGTGTGTGTGTGTGTGTGTGTTTGCGTGTGGGTGTGTG